CACGTTTACGGAAATGGATCATCTTTTGGCTGTCATTCAAGAGTTAGTTGCATCCAATCGTGTCCTAGCAGAACGCATGACCATCGTCGAGGCCGCGCTACTCAAGTCGAGGTCCAGCTGTGTAAACAAGGCAGCAGCTGAAGAGCAACAACAAGAGCAAGAATCGTCAGATTAAGAGCCAAAGCCTAAGCGAAGGAAAAAGCAAGCAACGAACCTGTCCGCCACGTGGTACGAGTGGTACACTAAGACGCCTCATGTGTGGAGCAGTACTGACTGTCAAAAGAAGTCCGAGTCGCGCCACGTCGCCGCATTCATGAAGATCTTCTTGGCAGATGGCATCGCGTTAGACATCCTAGCTGAGGACTACAAAGACCAAGTTCTCGACGCCGGTCGCAGGGCAGAAAAGCTGTTCTCGGGTTTCTAAAGTCGCAAGGCGTTAATGCGAAGGGAGCTGGCAGTGTTCTGCGCGCGCTACGACCATTCCACAAGTCTGGGGCGTTGGATGATCGCATAAGCACGTACAAGCGCCTTCTTTTCACCGGAAAAATACTTGACCCTGCTCCAGCAGACACTAAAGACATACTCGCCGTGGTGGGGCACGTCTAAACCCTCTTGAATACAATTACAGTCACAGTTAGTACAGTTAATTACAATACAACGCTTTTCGTACAGCGAACTGCTTCTTCACCACCAACAAACCTGGTGCTGCACCTCACAACGTTGAACACTCAGCACGAGCCCCTTCAACGGCAGCAGGAATCATCGCCGCCGTCTCTAGCACAAACCAACGCATTTCTCGGCAGCAACGTCAGCACGAACCAGCACCGCACTATCCTACAAAGGTAGCAGTCGCCAACAGCGTCCTCCCAAGCAGCCGCAGCAGTCACCAGCGTCGTCCTCCCCAGCAGCTTAACCAGTCACCAACGTCGCTCTATCCAGCAGGTGTAGTCGTCACTAGCATCGTTGGTTAGCTGTAAAGACCCATACCATGTCCCAAAGGACAGCGCCGGTCCGACTGGAGCGGGCTCCTCAGGGTAAACCCTGGCTCTACCAGTTGAGCTACGGCGCTGCGGTCGGAGGGGGTCAGAGCTCTGCTTAGTAGCTGATGAAGGAAGAAGACTGATTCGACTTATGCTCTGTCGGCAGTCGGCCTACATGTGGCCCTTTGATAGCCACTGATGGCAGCGCGTGTCTATTCCAAGACAAGTGGCATTAGCTCATTGGTAGATAAGATCCAATTGGAGGCAATCAACCTTTCATTGGCTAATAATTTATCCTATATCCAGGTTCATGGTGCCTCCAAGGATACCTCAATTAGTGGCCCCTCTCACTCCCCTCATTAATGAATTTGCTGCCTGAGGAGCACATTGCTCCGAGGCTTTAAGCATGCACATAACAAAAAATGGCGAGTTCTCAGCCTCCAGGCCTCTATAGGCCATTTCATTGTCCCTGTGAATGCAGCATGAAAGCTGACTGGAAGCTCGCATCCAATGTTTGGCTCGCACTTAGCTGAATATGCTGTTTGCTGTTTACAAGGTTTGGGCTCTTCTTTTTCCTGTTACCAAATTGTCGGAAAGTGTCGGAAAAGCTAAGGTGTCGGAGCGGTTGCGATATGGTAAAATTCAACCGATTTACAAATGATCGAAACTAGTTTTGAAAATAAGGTGTTAAGATATGCTACATGTACATGTAAAGCAGTAAGAGCAGTTAGTAAACAAAATTTAGAGAAAAAAACACTCAGGACAACGAATCCGTACCAGCTGATTGAAAATGATTACGAATTTGTAAGTTTTCATTAAAAGGAGCGCGGTTAACATAACAAAAGGCCCTTAGCTGATGATAAGAGAGTTGGTACGAAGCCTTTGGCTTTCCAGGGGCTGCCAGAGCTGCGCAGCGCCCCTCCCCTTCTTCTCTGCCGTGTCCCAAGTATTTCAATGCATAATTGTAATTCGTTCAGTTTTTCCTACTTTCAATTTCTTACCACACTACCAGCCCAACCCTCTAGTTAAAAAACCCGGATAGTTTGAGCTCAATTTTAAAATATGCACCTTTTCACGCCAGACTCATTTACAAAATTTCGACTGGAAAAAGAGACACAATATGTATTCATGAAGCTACTGGAGCCAAATTTGACAATATCTTGTCAATCAAAATCTGGAAAAAGTGAAACAACATGTATACATGTAGCTACTGTAGCCAAATATGACAATATCTTGTCAAACACAATCGTTGATACTACATGTTGCTACTGAAATCGGCAATACAGCTAAGAAAATAATCTTGCATGATGGAGCAAGGCACGTCAAGATGACGCAAGATGCCAAGGAATGCGTCGAGAGAGATCTCCATGACCTCTGCACGTACACGTTAAGCCAAATGCGTACCATGTTCTTTCTTGACTGCAACGTGAAGGTGCACACCTTGACAATCAGCCGCCATTTGCTGAGCTTGCCTTACACAGTGAAGCAAATTCGCATCGAGCCGACAACATGCAGCAATGACGTGAATGAGGAGAAGCGTCGCGTGTTTGCGAAGAAACTGAAGGCGCACTAAAGTGATGGTAACTGAATTGTAAATAACGATGAGACTAACAAAAACTTGTACCTGAAGCGCCAGTGAGAGCCCTCACAGCGTGGACAGCGAGCTGTCGTAAAACTTTCTTTTTTAAGAGGAGCGAATCTGCAAATTCAAAGTGCGGTGTCGTCAGCTATCGGGTTGGTGACCTACCGGCTTTAGCGCGGAAGCATACGCATGAACAAGAAACGCAGCCTTCGTAGAGGAGATCTACAGAGTAGTTAATGTCTCCGACGTGTTCCAGACCTGCTTCCGGAACAAGAAGATCGTGATAGTGCTGGACAACGCTCCGGCCCACCGCCAGACGGAGGGGCACGTCACGAAGCACCCGGACATGGAGCTGTTGCGGTTTACTATAGGATGTTTCAGTCGATGCAAAACCCGCCAAATTTGCTAAAACTACAGGATTGGCCCTAAGAAAGAGGACGTCTACTCCCGCGCCGACGCAAGGAAATACCGCTATCATGTCGTGTTTCTATTGTGATGGAGTGCACAACGACATCAGTGGTTAGCAGCAATTCAAGCAGCACAGCGCCAAGAAAAAGCAAGATCTGAACCTCCAGGTTTTCCGGCGCAACATCTGGTCGTACCCTCGCTCGGTAAAGAAGGCACGCGGCCGCCAAGAGCCGACGCCAATTAATGGGAACAATGGAAAAGGGCAAGTCCAACTCGAATGCGAAGGGAAATGACACACATAGGACGGTAGTTCAAACAGAGGATTGTCTGTCAATGGACGTATCAGTGGATGCGTGTAACGCCACGAGTCCAGTGCCCCCAGCCAGCCCTCCCAACGGAATCGAGTTTTCACCAACTCCTGGCCGCGACTCGATTATGTTCGGCGCACACGAAACGGACGATTTGATTGATGCTGTGATGTCAATTGGCGTTAACGGAGGGCACGTCGACGAAATCCAAACGCCGACGTCGCCAGACGAAAAGCTGATTGCAGGTCAAATCAGTCTGAAGAAGATGCACCTGGAGGATAAGGTACGGTCTTTGGCTCCTGATTTGCTTGATGCGGGAACGTGTATAACCAGAGACTCGTGAGAGTTGGACTCAGGTTGCAGATTTGATCTGGCCGGTGAGGAGTCGAAGTTCGTCGAGATGCTGCCCGAGACTGGATAAATGTTTAGGTTTGCACAAGGGTCTAAGCATTCTGTTACACACATTGAAACAGTTAATCTGTTTTTGCATGGCCCACAAGAGATACAGCGATTTCGTTTTGAGAATTATGTACTTGTACCACGTGCAACGTCAAACATACTTAGCGAATACGGGCTACAGCTAAATGGGTACGAAATAATTGGATTATAAACTGGTGAATTCAATTTTGTTTTTGTGAACAGCGAGCTAGAGTTTGTGGCTAGAGCCATCAATGGCGCATACTACGTACAAAATAAAACAGTCAAAGAGAGACAACAATTGTGCAATGCGGTCAAATCGCAGCCCAACAAGCTGCTAGTACTAACAGGAGTAGCAAAGTTGGAGAGCACGTTGCTGGAGTGGCATGTAAAACGTGGCCATCTAAAAAAACCGGTGATAGCAATGTTGAACAACAAAATAGTATTGTACTCCGCATATTTCATAATACCAAACTTTTGCACACAATAGAAGGGTCTTATTCTATGAAAACCAATATCGATAGTTAGATATATAGGGTTTTCTCGCCTTTTGAGTCCGAAAATGAGGTTGGTTTTAGCTAATTCGCAGTAGGTTTAGCACTATGAGCTCACAAAAAAAGGATCTCGGAAGCTCTAAATTGCTCGTAGGCAGATCTGGCCTTGTTATGCATAATCTAAGAGCTATCATTGGCTGACAATGAGATTCGTATGGTTTTCATGAGAAAGACGCAGTACGACTCCAGTTTAGTCGTCGATCGTTGTGTCGCATCGTGATGTGCAAATTAACAGCAAGATGAGGTCGCGAATGAAAAGTATATATTTATAAAGATGCATATTTAGCAGTTAAAGCTATCAGGCTTGACGTAGGCATCCTCGTTCTTCTGGACGTGGCGGTAAACCTTCAGCCACTCGTCATCGCACTCCTTCAGACCTTGAAGTACCTTCTTGACAACCGCGTTTTGGAGGCGTCCTTGCAATGGCCCCTTGACAATCCCCCAAATAAGCTCGATTGGTTGAAGTGTCGGATGGTAAGGTGGAGTAAAGAAGACGAAATGATCGTACTTGGTGGCAATTTCAGTGACTTGGTATCTTTTTGGTGGTCGATAAAGCTCGACCAACCCAATTAAAGTAGGAATGGTCGCTTTAGGACTAAAACCCATGCCAGCTACACCAAAATAAGTTTAAAAAAATTAAGAATAGGAGAACAAACCGTTTTTCCACAGCAATAATACACGCACTAACAAAAAAACATAACCAACTATTAATAGAATTGATTTTTATCAAAACAAAGTTTACTTACCGAGCTTATCGTCCAGTCTTACCGCAGCGAATCTTATCTGCAGTCAACCATGTCTTGCCTGCCAACCATGTCTTGCCTGTGACGTGGTTGACGTTGCAGTAAGATTCGTCCAGGTAGACTTCTGCTCTGACGACTCCGAGGCGGGCGCTTCGCTTAGTTCCTCGCATTGGACCACGCACAGCAACTCGATTAGCTACCTTATTCTCTAAGTAACTACGCCGGAATGCAACATTACCGGTCGTTTCGGCGTAAATGTGCCGTTTATCACCTTTTAAATGATGGAAGCCCAGTTCATGAAGGACCCGAGTCATAGTGTCCACCTTCAGCTGCGCGCCACACACTTCAGCAACTTCATTACATACATGTTGAGCAGTGATAGGCTGGCCTGCCATATTTTGCTTTACAGCCAAGTCGCGAATCGCTGGAGCGATTGTATTAAGGTCAAACATGTGGGCCCTTCCCCTGCTATTGCAACAGGCTTTAAAAATACAGCACCAAAATATTAGATGTTAAAGATAATTGATATGTAACTGCTAAATATCAAATGCATAAAGTTCTACCTCAAAGGCGGTCTTCTGACTCGCGTTGTACACTGCAATTACGCGTGCTACCGTGTCCGTTGAACAGCCAAGCCCCTCAGAAACGAGCTCTCTCGTGCGCTTTCCGCTAAATAGCCCTTGTTCTTTCTGTAGGGCGAAAAAGGTCTATCTCCTCACCATCATTTTCTTCTCAGCACTAGTGTACTCATGTCACTCAATTTGCATTTATGAAAAATGAACGCAAGATAAGGACAAACGAGAGGTTGTAGTCGATCAAGGAGACTCTGGGCCATCCATTGCTGGTCCTAATGTTTGTATACGATTAGTATTCGCTGCATAATAACATTAATACTGACCGGTTAAAATAACCGGTATCATGAATTATGCGGAGGATTATAATCGGAATGCCCAAACTATTATCGAGTGAGCTACAAGAGGTCCCCTTCTTTTGTACAACCTGTGCACAAATGAAGAAGCGGATAATGTCCTATCGTAATGCTAAGAGTTCCAGAGACACACAGCCCATCAGTACCTTTCAAATGGATGCAATGCAAAAAAAAACCATGGGACTATATGTACGATTCAGTACTTCATGAGTATTATACATGACAATACTTCATGGCAGTGGACATATTTCCTGCGCAACAAAAAGGAGGTGTTTAATAAGGTCACATAATTACTTCTACAACTGAAGCGTGAAGGAAAGCTCACCAATCGTAGAATTATGTCTGATGAAGGCACCGAGGTCGTGAACACTTTGCCACCATCTGTGTGCCATACCAAAATTTATCGGACCATCGGACCTGTACCTCAAAGCTGGTACAAAGTACAAAATCTAACCACCGTACGAACACTTCTGAATGTACATTTTACTGACAGCTGCGGTACTGCGTGGGGATAGGGGAGGCACCCGAGATGGGGAGCGGTTGCAGAGAGACTTTCAACCATGTTTATAGGCGCAAAGAAATGGCCTAAAACTGCCTGTGGGGTGAGAAAAGCAAAACAAAAAAATGTTTTTTTGCGACCAGGAGCCATGTGCGCTTGGTCTGGTAAGTTCAACAATGAGCCACAGTTTTCGTGGCGTGGTCCATGAGCTTCGCACCTGGTAACTCAATAATTTTCGTGGCGTGGTCCATGTGCTTCACACCTGGTAACTCAATCCACTCCATGTAAAGACACCAAGACAAGTAATGCACCCACCCACCCACAACGACGATGAACAGCCAAGAGAACCAAGCGAAAACCAAAAGACCATCGACCACCAAGCGGCTGTGATTAAGCTTTTATGAAACACATCTTGCGACAGAACGCTCGCATAGATGCACTCGAAGCTACGCAAAACAGCGAACCTACACCTAGAAAACGAAGTTGTCCAGGTGAAGGCACATATGCAGCTAGCACGCTAAGCAAGAAACAACACCGGGGATCTCCAACTCACCTTCATGCTACGTGGTTTGCGTGGTACGCTCAAGATCGACACTGATACGCACTGGCGCCAAAACAAAAGCAGTCGAGAGCGAAGTTGCTGGTGGCCTTCATGGAGGTTTTTCTTGAAGACGGCTTAGTTCTTGGCAAAGAGGGTGGCGACTGTCGTGACTGTGTTCTTGAGGTTGGCAAGAAAGCAGAGAAAGCCGTACATGCCTTCCTGGATGGCGAGAAGAAGATCAGCTCGCGTGGGTCGAGCGCCGTCCTTAAGCACTCGCAGGCTCTTCGCAGCGAAGGAGACCTAAGCGACAGAATCAAGCGCCATCAAAAATTCCTCCGGTCTGCAACCATTCGCGACCCCGCAGGGCTGTGCTCTTCCACTGAGCTACGTCGTCGTCGGGGGGAGGGGGTGGAGCTTGAGCGGTCGAGTTGGAGGCCTGCGTCGTTGGGCGAAAACAAATCCAAGCGTAGAGGCCTCATTGTCGGGACCAGTTTTGTGTGTTTTGAGCTCTGCCAGGCTGTGAGCCACTATTTGGATGCAAGTCTAAATATATTTAAGTGGTAAGGTAGAATTGGTGAAGAATCCGCCAATAAGTGCGAACATCTCTCGCTTCAGACAGAGGCTGTCTAGTGGCTTCCCTAATTTCAGCAACCGAGCTTCCGATGAAGCTCGAGCTGATCGTGCAGCCAGAGCTAGGCTTGTCGATAGTACTGCATGGCAGTGCTGCGAGCTATTGGTTTACCTTTTTCTCCTCCTTAAATGCAAGATACATAGCAAATTTATCCATTACACTAAAGAACCATTCCGCTCTCGTCACTATCAATGCACTTCCTTATGTATTCCTGTTCAGCTTCCTCTTCTTTGAACAATTTGACGAACGCACCGAGGGCTGTTTCCTTAGCCCGCAAGGTGTTACTAGACTGTAGGTCGTCTAAGCCCATGCCACTGGTCCACTGGTCCGATAAAAGCAAAATATGCAAGTGATATGTCAATGACTTAGAGTTTGGATAGGCATACACAACTTTTGCGTATCACGTCCGATCGGCTGGCGTGAAGGACTTGCCTACCCTTTTCAATTTGATCGGTAGAATTTACATTTGCGTCTTGAAAGCTGTTGGTTAGTGCTACAACAAAATTATCTTATTGGCTGTAAGATACCCATATAAAATCTAAGTGAAGTCCGAACTTCATATTTTACCGTACTACGGAGATGCCGGAGGCTGTGTGAACACTGGAGTATCGGCCTTTTCTGTTCTGGAACCCCCCAGTGTGAGCAATGTGCTCTAAGAAAAAAGTGAGGTTGGAGAACGACGAGGTCCCGGCAGCCAACCATTTCGAAAGCTAGGTTTTGATGGAGTAAAATAGCAGTAGAGTACCTAAAATCAATGACTTGTGTCAAAACTTCGTAACCAGAAGTGGTAACGCTGAAGTAGCGGCATAGCTATCGCTGCGGAGGATTTCTTGGTTTGATCCGATGAGCCAATCAAAAACTCAGAATCGCTGTAGCTACATTTCCTTTTCAAAACGCGTTGTTGGCTGCTGCTATTTGATTGGCTTGCTGCTTTCACTTGACAAAAAGTTTTGCTAATTCTGGTTTCGCAGGCGTGAAGTGTCCGTGGTGTTACGGAGTACGTGTAGGAGAATGCATAGCGTAGTAAACCTTTTAAGAAACTAATCTATTACATCACAGGTCTTTTGCTAGAAAATCTAGTTTAATTGTGAGCGCTTGATGCAGTTGGCACTATCCGTCATCCCATTTTTTTGTAAATAATTGGCACGTAGGTTCACTCCTCCCGGCGATGCGTGTTAAATAAAAAATGATTGATGTGTTTCCATCCCTAACGTAGATGTATGCAGCCATCGGACATGACAGAAGTCAACACAAAGGCTAGGTATTTAAGATCATCCGAAACTCTCTTTCTCCATATATCCAGAACACAAGTTTTTTCATTTATCATCTTTCTCGTCTATGACCAAATCAGGAACTGCTGCACAGCTCCGCGCCACTGCGTTCCTGCGTCGCGGCGCATGGGAACTACGCCAGGGTCAATGTGGCCGGTCTGCAGTCGCTCTACTGATACTGTTTGGACTGGGGATTTTAATGTTGGGTCTCTGTGTCTCTCCCCCGTCCGAAATGGCCGCACTGGCTTCAACTCTGTCGTCAAACCTCCGGGTGAAGCTCCAAGCCAGCGGTGACGCGAACGCTTTACGGTGGGGCACTGGCAGTGACGTTGTAATCCTGAAGGGTCAAAGGTTGCAGCGAATTCCTCCTCCTCGATACCCCAATGGAGTCAATAACACGTTCCAGTGCGACCTGCCGTCGCTGCGGTTCCAGTGCGACCTGGACAGCGACAAAGGCTGCAAAGCTTACCCGCAATTGTTTCCGTCTGTGGCTCTGTTTGACAATTGGAAACCTGAAAGCACGGCTCAAGTGCCTGCCTCCATCTTCGACAGCATTTGCCACTTTAACGTCTCCGATCCGGTATGATAGTAGAGAGGTGTTGGGGTGCTGATAAGAAAAAACTGACAACTTGTTGTTATAACAGTATGAATTTCGGTTGGCTCAGATGTTTCGAGAGATGGAGGTGCCGTTTGTTGCGTATGATATTCCAGAGCTCACGTCAGCTGCGGAGCGCTGGACGGATGAGTATTTAACGGAGAAGCTCAATCCGACGGCGTCGTACAAGGTGCACGTGGCGAACGATAGTCACTTTATGTATTACCTCAAAAGCAAGCAACTTACTGGCGAGAAGGACACGTACGAGTCGCGTTGGATGACGTATCCGGAGTTTGTGAAAACAATAAATGGTGTTAAGTCACTGGAGGAAGCTGGGAAGCCTCACGAATACTACTATTTTATGCTCAAGAAGAACGATTTCTCCAATCGAGCATCGTTCATCTATGACGAGCTGCAGTTCTTGGATCCCAGACGTACCGAGCACGACCCACGATTCGGAGATTTGTTCATCCGAGACGCTACTGTAGCCAAAGAGCGCGGGATGCGCTGTCGTCTTGGAATGCGAGGGATTATTGCGGATGGACACATTGACGGCGGACTGAACCATATCTCGATGATCCGTGGGACCAAACGCTACGTCATAGCTCCTCCTAGTGCGTGCAAGTGTCTAGGACTCATGCTCCAGGGTCAATCTGCGCGTCACACGACATTCAACTGGTCGGACACAAGCGCCCTATCGGAAGACGCACGTAATTGTCCCGCCGCGGAAGTCGCTCTCACTGCCGGCGAAGTCCTGTATCTTCCGTCGTACTGGTATCACCACATCGTGTCCTTGGACACCAGTATCCAGTGCAATTTGCGTTCAGGCTTCGCGATTCGTGATGATGTGAAACAGTATCTCGCAGAATGCGGCTTCGGTTCTAAGTAGCTCGAACTAACAAAATGGTAAGCAAAAGTTTTGATTTTTCTGGTACTTCAGAACCGACTCAATCAAGTACTCTATACACGGCGGAAAATTGTCTACACGATGCTCGCACGCACCGTGCCAAGAACGGTATCAAGAACAACATCGACGAGGTTGAATTTGGCCGTCGAATCAGGTGTGAGGAGACCAAACGTTTTCTCGAACGGACTGGCCTTGTATGGCGTGTCGAACAGCTGAAAGAAGAAGGACTCGGGAAGCGAACGGCTCCACGCCTTGAAGTCATTGTAGAACGTCTCCTGACTGGCAACACTGCCAATGTTGCCCAAAAGCGTTCCTTCCGAAGGCCACCCCGTTTCCGTAATCATGAGCTTGTCACCAAAGGTCTTGACCATGACCTCCCACTGGCTGTTCACGACGTCAATGGCGGTGTCGGCGGTCGTTCCTGGGTTGAAGTAAGGGTGAACATTCACGCCCAACACGTCGCAAGCAGCAACAAGTTCCGACCAGCCACTGATGTAGGAGTGGTTGATCATCTCGGTGTTGCGCTGCACCGTACCGACCTTGACGGTACCTGGCACCAGCGACTTGACTTTCTGAATGAGACTGATTAGCTCACCGGGAACGCTGGTCGCGCCGGCGAGATTTTCATTTCCTACGAAGATGTAGCCGACGTTTCCAGCGTTGGCGGCAGTGACAGCCGCATCTAGTTGCGTCGAGTAGTCGGATTGAGGGTACGGTACGCCCAGAGCGGCAGTGACGTTGGCGCTGGCAATTAGCAGACCCAAGTTGTTGTTACCGAACTGGGAAATATACGTGCGGACGGTGTCGAATCCTTGGGCTTTGATGACCGTCATATCCTCCAGGACGCTTTCGGCAGTCATGGCACCAGGAGCTGAAGCATGATCGGGGTCGTAGCACACACCAATGGCCTTCACTTGAGCTGCAAACATGGCGATACCGGCGAAAATTGGAGCGAAGAACTTCATCGTGATCAAAAACGTCTTGGAAATGAATGTCTCGAGCTGAAGGCGAATTGGAAAATGATCTTCGACGTGGTGACCTGTTCAACCGAATAGTATCAAAGCGAGAGTATCCTGTGGCGCGCTATGAACCAGCGCCTTTCGAAGACAGACAGTGATGCACATGCCCGGAACGAGCCTTTCTCAAGCCCAGAAACGCTCATCGAAACTGAAATGACCCACAGAATTCAGTGCGACGACTGCACGATCAGGACGCATCGTCCATATTGGAAACATGGCGTAGGCGTTTCGAACTCTAAGAAGTCCCCTTCGTCACACGACAGGTATTAAACGCAACTGGGTTCATGAAATATTACACACTGTTGAATTTTTACTTAAAATATTTGTTTTTTTATTATTCGCTTGCTAACTTGCTGATGCTGTCATCCCCATTCGGAAGAAGCGACTGGCAGCGGTACTCAGTGGCATCGGTGTGACGGAGAGAGGCACTGGAGGATGGAAGTGCTCGATATCTTCACAGAGAAGATTAATGAGAGCATCCTTTGACAACTGATCGTCCGGCAGATCGAACGAAAAGTCGAACGGCTTGGACGAAACAAGGTCGTTCTCGTCAAAGAACGTCGCCAGATACGGGTGTCGTAAGGCTGCGTCGACCGAGATTCGCTTGTCTGGATTGAACAGTAGCATCTTGCTCAACAGATCAATCGCCTCTGCACTCACGGAGTTCTCAGCGCCACTAGTAGCAAAAACATCTCGCCATTTCTTGGGTTTCGAAATCGCAAGCTTCGTGAGGAAGCGCAGTGCCTTCGTGTTCTTCACAAACCCGATATCCTCCTGCTTCGGAGTGCCCAAGAACTTGATGATGAGCTTGAGTTGATGTAAATAGTCGTTCCCTGGGAATAGCGGCTCCCGTAAGAGCATTTCCGCAAAGATACAGCCCACAGCCCACACGTCGATTGCTGTCGTGTAGTGAAGACAGTTCAACATGATCTCTGGGGCTCGGTACCATCGAGTGACAACGTACTCGGTGAGTTCTCCAAGCTGCTGTAGCTCTTGCTGCAAGCCCGACGATGAGCCAACTCCTCCACGAGCCAGACCAAAGTCGCACACTTTGAGGTCACAATTTGCGTTCAACAAAATATTGCTGGGCTTCATGTCACGGTGGAGGACGCCAGCCGAGTGGATATGATGCAACGCACACAGCATCTGGTACAAAAAGTACTTGACATGGTCGTCTGACATGGGCTGCATCGAGTAAATGACCTGATGTAGGTCGGTCTCCATGAGCTCCGTGATAATATACATATCGTCGAATTGCTTTCGAGAAGGAGGCGGCGACAGATCGTGTAGGCGTGTGATGTTCTTGTGGTGAAAGTGGCCCAACAGCCGGACTTCACGCAAAATGCGCTTCGCGTCCACTAGATCTTCGAAAATATTTGTGATCTTCTTAACTGCCAAGTTGTCGCCGCCGTTAACAACGTCTTTGACTGCGATCACAGCCCCGTACGCGCCATTGCCGATGGGTTTGACTAACTGATAGCGAGTATCCAGAGTGAACACCTGTCCGTTGGCGTTGAAAGAGTGCGTCTGTGGCCGCATCATTGGAAATAGCCCGGAGCTGCTGCTAGTGGCGCCAAAGGCAGCGCGAGGAAGTGGCCTGGGCCCATTCACCGCTGCTGCGGATGCTCTCGAGCTGGCTTTTGTGTACTCGTCCTCCAGCCCCATACGCTGGTAGGGAGAAGCTCGTCCTCCCAACCCCACACTCTCGTAGGTAGACACTCCTCTTCCTGCTAACACTGCACTCTTGTATGGAGCCACAGAACTCTGCGTCGCAAGGTCTCCAGCGATGGAATCTTCTTCGGAATCATCTTCACCTTGGTTGTCTTCTTGGTTGTTGCTTTCCTTCTCGTTAGTCGCATTGTTATTATCCGTGTCCGGGTCCTGCGAGTTCGAAGACGCGTTCGATCGAAAGTCAGGAGAGCAGCAATACCCACTCGCTGTTGGCGTCAGTAGCTCTTCGCTTGTACTAGCTGGAGCGACTCGTGCTGTAATCTGCACGTCCTGCACCGCCAGTTTAACTTCGTCTTCGTCCTCAAATAAAAGATCTTGTCTCGCTGCTCGAATCTCCTCAGCGGGAATTTCTGCCTCGGCGTGATTGTTGCTGCATTCACTGCTCGTATAGCTGACCCCACTGCCATTGGGCTCTCGGTCTCTGGTCAGCAGTATACTAGATCTCCTGCCTTCGTCTCCAAACATCGGCACGATCTTTGCCGGTTCCGTCACGGCGTCCCACCCTGCAGTGTCTCCCAGTCGCGACTGCGTCTCCACCTGTGTGATCAACTTGGCAATGCACGAGTTCAACATCTGTAGCCACTTGACGTGCATTCGTTCGTCCGCCGCTGCCAGTCGCAGCACCTGTGCGCCGCTTTCTTCCTCCCTCTCTTCTGTTGCAACTTCCGAGCGCTGGTCGGGCGACGACAACTGCAACTCCAGTGCGTGTTTAACCTGTCGATAAGATCTCATATCTGTTACTACGTCGTTTTGTGACAGTGTTATAATAGCCACGAGATGGCCAGGCCTCCTGCTCTCTGGTTGATACCGGAACTGTCGCAGCGTGAACCTTGCGGAGGTCCCTACGTCGCTCTCGAGTGTCTGTTCCAGAACAAAATAGCAAGGCGTGGAGCGCCAGTAGCGCTGCTGTATGAGTACAGTCAGCACGCCTTCGACCAGAACCTGTACGGGCTGTGACGGTGGACCACGCAGCTCCTCCGCTTTGTGGCGGTTGCGCTGGAGACTGAGTGAGCGCAGCAGCGCGCGCATGGACGAGTCCACGCGCGCCTTGGTCTCCTCCTCTTCGCCATACAGCGAGCGCCCTGCGAGGGGCCGTGGGGCCGTCGGAGACCTTTCCTTGCGCCGAAACAGGCGCGCCAGAAGCGTCTGCGACCGGATCCCACTGCTATTGCTGCTGCTAGTGCTATTGCTACCAGGCTCCGACGAAACAGGCGTCGACGACGCGCGCTGTAGACGGTCAGACAGCGACGAGGGCGCCGACAATGGAGAACGCGAAGAAAGCTGCCGCGCCATGACGGAGAGAGTCGGCGAGTGGGCTAGTGCGGGTTTTGTGCAACTATTCAAGATTTCTACCGAAGAGGCGCGGGGTGAGTTTCTACAGTTTCTCTTCTTTTGACAAATTGTGAATGGGACAGTTGAAATCGGACGGAATTTGTGCTAATAAAAGAGACGTTGAAGGGATCAGTTTTTGGTCAACACAAAATACGTCTTCTGGTCTCTCTAGTTCTGGAGGAATGGGTAGTCTAAGTAACCACGCTCGTCGCCAAGGTAGAACGTGTCTACGTCGAATTCATTGACGGGCTTGTTAAGCTCGAACCGACGCACCAGGTCCGGGTTCGAGATGAAGTGGCGACCGATGGCCACGGCGTCGGCGGAACCTTCCTCGACGATGTGGACGGCCGATTGCCGGTCGAAACCCGACGCAGCGATCAGCACGCCCTTGTAAGTGTTCCGGAACTGCCGCGCCGAGCCCTTTTCGGGCGCCAGAGGGTTGCGCACGTGGTAGCCGCGCGGCTCGATGAGGTGCGCGTAGGCCAGATCATACTCATTCAACTTGTGAAGCACGTACGTGTACGTTGCGATGGGGTCCGAGTCTTTGTCGCCGAAGCTGCCTCCAAACGGCGACAACCGAATGCCCACTTTTGCCGAGTCCAGGCTCTCGAGAATCGCTTCCATCGCCTCGAACAGGAAGCGTGCGCGGTTCTCCACGCTGCCTCCGTACTCATCCGTGCGGTCATTGATTCCGTCGTGCAAAAATTGCTCCAGCAAATAGCCGTTAGCGGCGTGCAGCTCGACTCCATCAAAGCCAGCAGCGATGGCGTTCTCTGCGGCCTTACGGTAGTCGGCCACGATACCAGGGATCTCGCTCAGCTCCAGCGTGCGTGGGGGCACGGGCTCCATGCGTCCTTCGCGCGTGACGATCTTCTTCCCTGCACGGATGTTCTCGAGCTTGGAGCTGGATGACACGGGCAGAACACCGCCGGGCTGGTTGAGCGGGTGGCCGATGCGGCCCGTATGCCACAGCTGGAGAAACATCTTGCCACCCTTGTCGTGCACGGCCTGCGTGACGTTGCGCCAGCCTTCGATTTGTTCGGCCGTGAAGATGCCTGGCGATCCCCAGGAACCGCGTGCGGTGGGCGAAATGTTGGTGGCCTCGGCGATAATCAGACCGCCGGGCGTCGTGCGCTGGGCGTAGTACTGAGCACCGATGTCCTTTTGAACACCATGCTCTTCCGTTCTCAGACGCGTGAGTGGTGCCATGACAATTCGATGAAGGAGCTGAATGGGGTCCTTCTTGCCACCGAGGGTCAACGGCGTGAAGAGCTTGGGCGTCGTCATAGTGTTTGGGAAAAATAGGAAGTGCCGACATCTTCTATGAGGTGGACAGGTCCAGCTTGCGTCATCCCGCCAGTCGAGTCATCGATGCTTGATTGCCCACGCCTTGTTAGGTTGCCTTTTTTTCGCTTCATATGTTGCGCTCCGCCTTGGTCTAATCAGAATCCGTCGTTCTCTTTTCCTATTGGTCCAGTCTGGTCCAAAAATGTGATCGAGCTTCTCTCGGTTCGCTACAGTATCATTCCCGAAGCTCTGCGGTCGCCATGGGGCAGCGCTTGAGCACCTCACGCGACAGCGACGCCTCGGAGGCAGATGGCCCGCCCACTTCCGACCTACCTGCTCGCGTGACCGATGCCTCCCGCACTTCTTTATCCTCTCCTCGACCTCCTGCGAATTCCCCGCTCTCCACCGAAGCCACAGCTCTCAGTTCCACATCTCCGACTCTATCCGCCCTGCGCCCTACCGTCGAGGATGCTGCAGAGCATCCGAGCGAGCGCGAAAGCTCTATGCGGCTAGGTGACGTCGTGCAAAACACGCTCAGCTCCGACCAGGAGCCGTCCGCTCACCAGCAACAGAGCGACGAAGCGGACGCTTTGAGCTTCTCGCGTGTGTCTTCAACCGACTCGTTCCCGTCCTCCCCGCTCAACGTCAAAGCAGACGACGCCCATCCGCTCACAAGACGCAGCTCCATGTCGCGCACGCCTGCGCCGCCCAAACTGTCGCGCTTCCGGCCATCCATGGAGATCCCCAGGTCACCTCAGTCGAGCTCCGACTCGTCACTCGATTCAAGCTCTAGCTCCTCCGACGAAGACCTTGCAGGCAGTGGCGAAGAGCTGGTCAGTGACTGGCTCGACGAGCCTGAAGACGCGGTGCTGTCCCCGCCGTCCCACCCGAAGCGGACGCGCCACGCGAGCGCCTGCTCCTCCGTGTCTTCTCACACAGGCAACAGCGTGTCGTTCTCAGCCATGCACAGCAGCGGAGGACGCAACAGCAACAGCAGTCAACACAGTATGACTGGTTGGGCTTCGTGGCTCAGCTCACCTGACGACGTAGAGGAAGAAGACGACGCAGACGATGAACCGGTGGCACTCACGCCCTTCTTACAGGACAATATGCCCGTGTACGAGGTCATGAGACAGGTGCAATTATTCAGGAACTTAAGTCAGATGCAGCAGGAACAGGTTGTGCGCGCTCTAAAGCCGGCCAAGTTCTCGGACGGCGAGGTGATCGTGGCGCAGGGTACACGTGGCTCTAGATTCTACATGATCGCCAAGGGAGAAGCCGTTGTGACTAAGACGGTAACCACTAGCAGCAACAGTATTACCAGTTCGACTCCTTCCAGTGCAGGACAGACGCAAGAACGTATGATCACGCACTTACGAGCTGGTCACTACTTCGGTGAGCTGGCATTGATCTACGATGACCCTCGTACAGCCACTGTACGCGCTGTTGGGGACGTGGAGCTGCTGTACTTGACACAGGAAGATTTCCAGCATATTGGCCAAGTGCATCTGAGTCTTATGTTGCAGCAAGTGCCGCTACTGGCACGGCTGAGTGCCCGTGATCAAGATATCGTGCTGAAATGTCTGCGACCTGCTAACTTCAGTGACGGCGAGTACATTGTCCACCAAGGAGATGAAGGCACACGCTTCTACATGATCACGCGTGGTGAAGCTATTGTATCGGAGAAAGCTGTGGGGCCGGACAAGAAGCCGTACGAGAAGGAGTTGACGCGGTTGTATGAAGGCCACGTGTTCGGCGAGATGTCGCTCATTTACAGCGAACCCCGTACAGCTTCGGTGCGCGCTGTTGGCCCCGTCAAGTGTCTGTATCTGAGTAAAGAAGACTTCGACAAGTGTCTCCTCTCTGATCACTTCCAGCGCTTTATTCAAGAAGCTTACGTGGAGAAGGCGACGCGACGCGCTATGCGGCTTCGACTCCAGCAACGTGCGAACAGTGCTGCGACGTTAGGGTCCGCTCCCCAGGCGAGCTCTGACAGTTCGTCTAGCTCTATCGTAGCACCGCCTCCAGCACCCACGTCGCCTGTGAAGGCTACAGAGACGAAGAAACTCGTGAAGCAGAGACTGAAAAACGGCCAAGTTGTGGTCAACAAGTACGTGATCAAGGGCGATCTGGGTCGAGGCACATTCGGTCGTGTTAAGCTGTGTGAGAGCCAAGAAGACGGACAGATGTACGCTGTCAAGATCATGCACAAGACGTTCGTTCAGCGTATGGCAGGTAAGGAAGATCAGCTGTATGATGTACTACGTCGCGAGGTGGCCATTATGAAGAAGCTGAACCACCGCAACGTTGTGAGACTCGTGGAAGTGATCGACGACCCGAACAGCCAGAAGATGTATCTTGTACAGGAATATGTGCAGCACAGTCTGATGGAGGAGGTCACGCAAGCGCGTCGGCTGAGCGAACCGGTTGCTCGGAAGTACATGCGTGATCTGCTCTCCGGTCTGCAGTATCTACACTTCCACAAGGTTATCCATCGCGATATTAAGCCAGAGAACATTCTCGTGAGCTCTGATGGCGTGGCAAAGATCGCCGATTTCGGTACAGCTCGTATGATTATGAACGAGACGGAGACGATCTCAGGAGCGAAGGGGACGCCGGCTTTCATGGCGCCTGAGATGTTCGACATTGACGCGACGTACCAGGGCCCGGCGGTGGACGTCTGGTCGCTTGGAGCTACACTCTACATGATGGTGATCGGACACCCGCCTTGGATGGCAGACAACGAGATTGTTCTGGCGGAACGTGTACAGCGTGTGGAGTTGCGCTTCCCGAAGGATGTGGAACGTACGATGGAGCCGCATCTGAAGAATCTACTGCAGCGTATGCTCACGAAAGACCCTGCATGTCGTATCTCTCTTAAGGAATGTTTTACGCACGAGTGGACCACAAAGGAAGGAAGCGACCCGCTTGGTCTGATCACGCCGGAGAAGAACTTGACCGTGTCGATGGATGAAAGCGAACGTGCTATCGAGAACATACCGGAGCAGATTGACCAGCGCCTGACAGAGAGTCTGGCACAAGCGCATCAATTGGTTAAGACCCGACAGGAAACTGGCCCCGGTGTCGTGCGTACGAACAGTGGACGGCACTTCACCGGCACGCCCATGGCAGGAACGTTAGGTGCACGCATTCCTTCGACGGCGTCCACCACGTCGTCCATCAACACTGTCGGTAGTAGTCCGAGTCGCGCGTCTAGTGACGAAGTCTCCCGCATCATCTGCGCATGGCGTCACCACAAGCGTGTGCAGCTCATGGATGGCCACAAGGAGTTGTCGGAGCGTTCTCGTGAGCTCTTGATCGAGCAGAAACGCATGGCTTTCTCAGTGGATCGTGCCAAGGTAACGGAGATCATTCTTCCGGCTGCTAAACCCACAGCTCGCAGTCGATACCCAAGCACGTCGTCCTCTTCATCGCTTCGACAAGTGAGAGAGCAGTCGGCGTTATCCACTGCGTCTTCGGTGTCATCCATGTCGACTGTTGGTGGCAATACGCCTTCGTCCGACTCGCCCAGGTCGCGCTCTTTCCCTGCTGGACGTAGCAACTCTGTGGACAACTCGCTGCTGCTCAAGAAGAACAGTTTCCAGACTCGCCGGTTCAAAGACTCGGGCAACCTCGAAGGCTTCGGTCGCACCTCGTTCACGTCTGTCTCCCAGCTGTCCGAGCTGGCAACGCCCGTTGAAGAGTCTTTCGACCAACGTGGCAGTTTGTCATCCTCCAGCGAGTCGGGTCATTCCAACAGCAGCTATTCGAATGCGACGGAGGCGTCAGATGCAGACTTGATGAAGCGCTCGCTCTCGCGTAAGAAGGATTTCCTTATGGTGACTTCTGAAGTGTTCCGTGACGAAGGCGGAGACTACCAGACGCGTAAAATTCTCTTTCAGGCTCGAGACGATGACTTTTCCGTGGCTTCACGCGTGCCTACCCACTCGAATTCCGGCCGTGAGCTGCTCCCTCCAGGTCGCGCCGGCTCAACTAACTCATCGTCATCCAGTCAGAAGCCAAGACGACTGGGAAGCACTGGTAGACTAGGCAGTGCTGGTAGTAGCAGTGCCATGGGCAGCGCAATGGGCAGTGCCATAGGTAGTGCCATGGGGAGTGCCATGGGTAGTGCCATAGGTAGCGCGTTAGGCCGAGCCAGCGCCACGAGTCGTCGATCTCTAAGTGGAAGTTCCGTCAGCTCGTCCCGCTCCGTGGCTACCGAGGATGGAAATGTGGAGGAGTTCGACATGGATGGCATTGATTGTGTCCAAGTTACGGAGATTGACGATGAAGACGACGACGATCTGGTGAACCACGGGATGCGTAAGGGCAGTGGAGCTTCCTCTCGGCATTTCCACCATCATAGTGACAGTAGTCGCGCGAACAGTAGTCACGATCGCAGTCATAATTCTGGTCTTTCGGATGCGGATAGCGATTCGGACGATTCGGATTACTCGGATGTCGAGTGTGACGTCGACGTCGACGCGACTTTCAGTGAACTTATCGCTACGCCCAACCAGCTTGACATTATCAGCCACGACGACGAAGAGATCGCTCCTATCGTGACGCAAAAGCCGTCGTTAACGTCGTTTGATGACTTGTCGTCGGCTTCATCGTTGGATGTGGACAACAGCGGCAACGTTCTCACGCTCGGGTCTCTAGCGTCGATGGCTTCAAGTGAATCGGCGTTGGCTATGGCTACACCCAGTTCGATGCTGGATATCGTCCAAGTGTACGTGAGCAGCAAGATCCGAGAGAATCTCACGCTGTCTATTCGCTCTGGCTACGCTGAAGCGAAGGGCGCGCGGTCGTACATGGAAGACCGTACAACTGGACAGAGTACATGTGATCTGTCGCGGTATCCGGCTGCTCTAGCGAACAACTACGCGTCGTTGGCGTTCTTTGCTGTCTACGACGGTCACAATGGCACGGACACAGCTGTGAAATTGCAGAACGAGTTGCATCACCGCTTCTTCGCTGAAGGTGCGGGCTTCATCGAGTCCCCCGTGACGTGCATCTCATCCGTGTGTGAGTCCATCGACAACGAGATCTTGGAGAGACAGAACCAGAGCGTACTGCCTAAACGTAAACGTACGATGGCTGCGGAGGAGATGCAACGTTATCTCAGAAGCGAGAGCACAGTGCCCAGTCTCACTGAAGACGAATGCTGCGAGATCGACGGCGAGATCGTGTGTGGAGAGGAGATGAAGCAGTTACTGCAGCCGATCTCGTTCTCTGGTGCTGCGAGTGTGTTCGTCGTGGTGGCAAAGCAACGCAAGAAACGCTGCCGTGCCAATGACAAGGAAGATGACGCTGTTAAGGACGACGAAGAGACTGAGACAGCAGAGGACGAACTGGACGAGGAAGACCAACCCACGCGACTGTACGTGGCCAATGTGGGCGACTGTCGAGCTGTTTTGTGCACTGCAGACGCCTTAGCAGTCGACATGACGACGGATCACAAGGCGTCGCTACCGGCTGAACAGGAGCGTATCGAGGCGTCAGGTGGCTTCGTGCACAACGGCCGACTGGACGGCATTCTGCAGATCTCCCGTGGCTTCGGTGACTTGGCGCACAAACAGGATGGCCACTTGGTGGTCACGCCAGATGTGGTGGAGCATCTCGTGAACCCGTCGGACCAGTTCTTGCTGCTTGCAAGTGACGGGCTCTTCGACGTGTTGACGTCGCAGCAAGCTGTCAACTTTGTGCTGCGTAAACTTCAGACCCATGGAGACGTCCAACTCGCAGCTCAGGAGCTGGTGCTCAAGGCGCAAGCTTACTTCGCACACGATAACATCAGTGTGGTCATTGTGGCGTTGAACCAGAAAGGTGACGCGTGAAATGAACAGCGGCTTCTATTGACTACGGAAGATCGGAGACCGACGAAGAAGCAGAAAACCCGGAGATCAAGCTCGAGATCCAAGAAATTATGAACAAGAAAACCCAGAAATATGAGTGGATTAAGACCAGCACTGAAGCCTGTTCACGTTGTTTGTCAAAGTCTTCCGATGGACGTGACGTACGTGTACGGCGCTGGCTGTGGCTTAAGTATACGTGTGAGTGTTTAGTTTACCTTGTCTATGGTGCATTACTGCTTGACCGAGGCTTCTTCCCACTGCTCGAAGCCGTCCCACGAGCGTAGTTCATCCTGTTCCTCCAGCACGTAGACAGGGGACAGGAAGTCGATCACCTGGTTGACGTTACACTCCGCTTCACCGTCCGTGGAGTCTGCACACGCAGCGTCAAGCTCGTCGATAGTCATAAGCGTCGTGGCATTATCAGGCCTTGCGTCCATTAGGGTCATTTCGTTAAGTAGGAACGGCACAGCGCCGCCCCCGAACGTGCCCGGCGCGTCCCGGTACGGCTCACGCTCGAGCGTGAGGAACGTTCGTAACTGCACAGCGAAGCCCAGCGCCACAAGCGGACAGCGACGAGTAGATCGATTAGTAGCGAGTGTTAGCAGCCCCTGTAAGTACTTGAAGAAGAGTTCTGCACGTTGCTGCACAACTTTGGAGCGCTTGGAGCCCCATAGTCGTCGCTTCGGGAAGTATTTGGAGCTCAGTTTGTCCAGCGCCTCCATCATCGGCGCGCAATGCTGACAGTGCGCTTGTTTGTCGTCTACCGCAGCTCCTGGGTGGTTGCGTCGGTCGAATACCAACGCGAGGTCGTCTCGCAGCGTCCTGAAACCTGAATATCGTCTCGAGACGACCCATCTCTCTCCTACACCCGATACCATAGTGTCTTCGAGCACCAGTTCGTATTCCGTGTGAGTACCCGGTGACACCATGGACGTGTACTGCAGAATCGACGACTCTCGTGGCGTGACCGAGTGCAGCACGAAGCCTCCGAGGTGGTTAGCCAAGCTACGTGGTCGCTTTTTAAGAGACATAGAGGACGACGTGTTGGTGGACGTCGAGCGGGGACCCAGATGTGCGCGACAGCTACTGCTGGACTTGTTACTGACTTCACTACGACTGCGACTGAGGGACGGACAGCGCCGCATCGAGTCGAACACGACGCTCGAGCGTGCGCTGGGGCGTCGCTGGTCGTTGGCTACAGGCTCCTCTGTACTCCTGGAGTTGTGTAGACGCGAGTTCTCCGAGGAGGACGTGGACGAGGACAGCGAATCGAGGAAGAAGGACAGGACGGAATCCGAGACGGTTATGGGCATGGGCGGCAGCGGACGACGCCGCGGTTTGGCCACCTCTTTGTGGTCGTGCAGCTTGGGCTTGAGCGATTCCTCCATTTGCCTGCGAGTTGATGTATGGCGAGTCGAGAGTGACATGGGGGAACATGTGGTGCTGTGGACCGATCAGGGTGAAGATCCGTACAAATGCAGCCCATCTCGGGTCAAAAGAGTGGGATGTTTATCTGTCAACAAGGTTCAGCCTTACATACATAGCCGTGTGAGCAGCGGTAGACGCTCACAATCGGAAAGCTGATTCGCCAGAGCAGAATGCTCTCTCTGTGCGAACAAGTACATGTACTATTAATACACAGTGTGTAGGCACTGAACATGCGACCTATAGAGCCATCATATTTACCTCTTGCAGCTCCTGGAGATGCAACTTGGCTCAGCAGTTTTACATGTATTAATCGAAGCAGCCGTTTTAAGAAATGAAAAGAATTCTAAAATAACGAATGACTTCCGAAAGTCTCTCTGCAGCCTGGAGGTGTTTGGCGAGATCCGATCGAGCGCTGGAGGCTGCGCTTTGTCTTAGGATTAACAACTCGCTTGCTTTGCCTGCAACTTGCAGGCTGCAAGTGCATGTAGCGGACAGTATTACAGTAATAGCGCCGAAAGCTCAACGCGATGAGGCTGATCTCTCCTTACCTGACCACGCTGAACTTCACGCTACACTCGTGCAGACAAGACACATTTTTTTCTTTTTCTTGAGCTGACTTCTCCCGAGGAAGTCAGCTAAAGAAAAAAAAATAAAGTGTTCCTCCTCCTCGTCTCGAAAATTCGAGTCGAGTTGACTGTTTTTGAGGCTATCCAAACACAAATAACGCTAGACCTAAAGTACTTCGTCATTTGAAATATGCGGCTGACTCAGGGTATTCTCGAATCTCGAGAATACAGTACATGCAGCCTTTGGCGTTGGCAAAAAGCGAGACTGGTTCTGGTGCCCACCAAGACTTTGGCGCGACTATCGATGTATTTTACAATTCTCGATCACAACGAGAGAGAGAGAAAAAAAATCATTTACAGATTACTAAATTACAGAAACATCTTTTTAAGTTGTAAATCAACGAAAACTAGACTCACTTTGGCTCGCTCGAGTAGCACCTGAACGATGTTGAAGAAGCTGATCACAGCAAATTCACCATCAACTTATTGACCTATAAACGACGCAACATCTGAAGAGGTCTAAATGCATCCTGGTCGGATACGCAGGATTCTCGTGTTCCTCCAAGTCGCCTGGTAGCTAGCGCTGTCATTAGTGCTCTCCATCCAGCCCACCATGTGGTCATTCAAGTTGCTACATGAGTCATATAACATGACTCATATTGTTGTTGATGCAGCTGGGTACCAATTACCTACTTGCACATGTATTGCCCACTTTTGATACCTTTCACGTCCGTCATATCCATGTAATCACTCCTTGTTGACTTGTCGTCCTACACCTTAAAGACAGTTATTAGACTTTTCAGCAGCAATAACACTTCTAGTGCACTATTAACAGACACTTATCCAGATACCAGAAACTCAATAAGGTAGTTGCCAAGCAGTGGGCAGAATTTCAGTATCTTCGACCATAAAGACCGATTATTATGTCGAATAATGTCGCTGAGAGAAGACTCTTGGTTGCTCACTTTGTCGCTCGTGTTCAGACAGGTCCGCCGACATTTTCCAATTCCAGCAGGGTAGGTTCATAAAGACCCCTCAGCTATCCTTATCCAAGCTGCGTTTAATTCCGCAGCTCCTGATCGCTTTCAGGTTTGCTCATGGAGGCAGTCGAAATCTTCTCGGGTGCTAACTGCGCTGGGACACCAGACGTGCTGGCCGTGTACAATGTAACTTCGGGCTGTGCTGAGAACGCGTGTAGCGACATCAGCTTCGGCAACGACACGTACTATATAAGCCGATCATGTAACATCTCGGACAGGTTCGCACACACTGAACAAGTATTCGGAGACTTCACGTACGTGATCATGGAGACATATGACAACAAGAGCTGCACGTCATTTGGAGAAGCAGATACCTTCTTGGCGTCGGGAAGTTGCGAAATATCGTCCGGGCTCGGAGACCAGTCGGCCATTACGATTCTCTTCCCAAATGGATCTGCTGTAGTATCGCTTTATCCTAACAACGCGTGTGGAGGCGAGCCTTCCTTGCACTTTGAGCTTAGCAAGACGGCACTTTCCACGGGTTCTTGTCAACAAGGTTTGTACAGATTTTACAGCAGTGAAAGTAGCTCTGGGTCAGGTTCGACCAGCTCTACAGAAAATTATAGCGGCAATTCCAGTAATTCTGAAGCGAAGGATCGACAGGTGGAAAGTAGTACGACTGGGTCTGATGACAGTTCGAAGGATTCCAGCATAAGTACGGGCGGGATCTTTGAGATCGTAGCCGGCAGCTTGGTGTTCATCCTACTCGTGTCGTTATTAGTCGCTTATCATCTTCGCAAAAAACACGAAGATGAAGCCGAAGAGCAGGATACTTTCACAGAGTTTCAATCACCCCGAATCGGCCAAAAAAATAACTCTTTTACTGCCCCAGGAACGCTAGATTCACATTTGGATGACGGCCAGAGGGGGTCACAAAAGCCGCTCAGTCTTGTAGGTTTATGGGACGATGAAGTCATCGCTACAGCTCGGATTTCTCGCGAGAAGATCGTCATTCAGCGTCACCTCTGTCGTGGCGGTGGTGGCGAGGTGTATAAAGGGCTTTTTAACCAGCAACAAGTCGCGATCAAGATGCTGCTGCCGGATATGCGCAAGAGCGTCAAACATGTGAACGCATTCTTGGCTGAGGTGAAGCTTATGGCAACTCTCGACCACCCGCGCATTGTTCAGTTTGTGGGCGTAGCATGGGACTCTTTGACCGATTTGTGTGTCGTCTCTGAGTTCATGGAAGGCGGCGACTTAAGGGGATTGCTGACGAGGTATCAAAATGAGAACCACCCTACAGGTTTCGACCGTACCAAGGTGACCATCGCCTTACATGTCGCCCACGCTCTCACATACCTTCACTCGCTTGAGACCCCAGTGCTGCATCGAGATCTGAAATCCAAGAACGTCCTTCTCACCTCCAGTCTCGAAGTCAAGCTCACGGACTTTCGTATCTCCCGAGAACAAGCCGATAGAACCATGACGGCTGGTGTGGGGACGTCACTGTGGATGGCACCGGAGGTGATGTTAGGGGAGAGGTACGATGACAAGGCGGACACGTTTTCATTCGGTGTCTTGCTGTCCGAGTTGGATGTTCATGTTCTTCCATACTCACATGTAAAGGAGAGGTGGGATGATCAAGCGGCAGACACTTTGACCTTGCAAAAAATTGCTCTTGGGCAATTGCAGGTCGATTTTTCGTCGAGTTCGCTGCCGTCTATGGTAGATTTGGGCTTGTCGTGTGTGTCGCTGGACCCAAAACAGCGTCCAACCTCGGCCGAGGCCCTCCATCAGCTACACATAGTCTTATCGCAGGAGCTTTTAAAGCTGCCAGTCAACCTCACAAATACTGGACTAATCCACACTAAGGACTAATCATCAAAATAAAACCCGGTTAATTTTTAACAATTAAACCGTAAAACGCTCTTTTAAACCTCGTGCCGGCACTGCGAATTCATGAATTATGAATCCCCCCATCATGACATGATGAGGTAGTGCCGTACACTGTACATTTGAACCGCGCAATAGTGGCACTGTCAGACTGATACAGTTGTGGCCCCACTACTGACAGACTGTCAGTGACAGTGCCACAGTGTGGCCCCCGACTTTGGGGTCTTGCATTACAATCAAGAGCGTTCGGTCCTTCAGACCCGCTCAAGCCGTCACGATGGAAGCCGTCGAGATTTTCTCGCGCGTCAACTGCGCTGGGACGCCAGACGTGTTTGCCATGTACAATGTGTCTGCGAGTTGCGCCGTGGATGCGTGCAGCGACATCAGCTTCGGCAACGACACGTACTTCATCAGTCGAGCGTGCAACATCTCGGACAGGTTCGCACACACCCAACAGGTATTCGGAGACTTCACGTACGTGATCATGGAGACATACGACAACAACAGCTGCTCCTCATTCGGGGAGGCAGATGTGTTTCTAGCGTCGGGAAGTTGCGAGATCTCGTCCGGGTTTGGAGATCAGTCGGCTATCACCAGTTTGTTTTCCAATGGGTCTGGGTCTGTGACACTGTATCCTAACAACGCGTGTGGCGGCGAGCCTTCGCTGCTCTTTGAGCTTGACAGTGTTGCGCTATCCACGGGTTCATGTCAGCAAGATCTGTATCGCTTTTACAGCAGTGAGAGCGTCTCTAATCGAGTTGGAAGTAGTACTTCTGGATCAAATAACGGCGCAGTTACAAGTGTCAGCGATGACTCCGACAGCTCCAGTGTCAGTATTGGTGCGATAGTTGGTATCGCAGCAGCAGCTCTGGTTGCTGTCTTAGCTGTCGCTCTGTTTATTCTTCGTCGTGTCCGTACGAAACGTGAGGCTGAAGTGGACGAGAACGACGCGTTTAACGAGTTTCAATCTCCTCACAACGGCCACAAGAGCGGGTCTTTGACAGCTCACGGATCACTGGAGACCGCGTCAGTACACGGCCACAGTGAATCTTCCAAACCTCTCGGTCTTGTAGGTTTATGGGACGATGAAGTCATCGCTACAGCTCGGATCCCTCGCGAGAAGGTCATCGTTCTTCAACCCATCAGCCGAAGGGGTGGTGGCGAGGTGTATCTAGGGCTTTTTAACCAGCAACAAGTCGCGATCAAGATGCTGCTGCCAGAAATGCGCAAGAGCGTCAAACATGTGAACGCATTTTTGACTGAGGTGAAGCTTATGGCGACTCTCGACCACCCACGCATTGTTCAGTTTGTGGGCGTAGCATGGGACTCTTTGACCGATTTGTGTGTCGTCTCTGAGTTCATGGAAGGCGGCGACTTATGGGGATTGCTGACGAGGTATCAAAATGAGAACCACCCTACAGGTTTCGACCGTACCAAGGTGACCATCGCCTTACATGTCGCTCACGCTCTCACATACCTTCACTCGCTTGAAACCCCAGTGCTGCATCGAGATCTGAAATCCAAGAACGTCCTTCTCACCTCCAGTCTCGAAGCCAAGCTCACGGACTTTGGTATCTCCCGAGAACAAGCCGATAGAACCATGACGGCTGGTGTGGGGACGTCACTGTGGATGGCACCGGAGGTGATGTTAGGGGAGAGGTACGATGACAAGGCGGACATGTTCTCATTCGGCGTCTTGCTGTCCGAGTTGGATGTTCATGTTCTTCCATACTCACACGCCAAGGATAATGGAAACTTTCAAATCGCGGATGCTGTTATCTTGCAAAAGGTTGCTCTAGGCACATTGCGGGTCGAATTTTCGTCAAGTTCGTTGGAGTCAATGGTAGATTTGGGCTTGTCGTGTGTGTCGTTGGACCCAAAACAGCGTCCAACCTCGGCCGAGGCCCTCTATCGGCTACACACAGTCTTATCGCAGGAGCTTTAAAAGCTGCCAGTCAACCTCACAAATACTGGACTAATTCACACTAAGGACTAATCATCAAAATAAAACCCGGTTAATTTTCAACAATTAAACCGTGAAAGCGCACCTTTTAACCTCGTGCCGACACTGCGAATTCATGAATCATGAATCACCCCATCATGACATGATGGGGTAGTGCCGTACATTTGAACCGCGCAATAGTGGCACTGTCAGACTGATACAGTTGTGGCCCCACTACTGACAGTGCCACACTGTGGCCCCCGACTTTGAGGTCTTGCATTACATGTACAATCAAGAACGTTCGGTCCTTCAGACCCGCTCAAGCCGTCACGATGGAAGCCGTCGAGATTTTCTCGCGCGTCAACTGCGCTGGGACGCCAGACGTGCTGGCCATGTACAATGTGTCTGCGAGCTGCGCCGTGGACGCGTGCAGCGACATCAGCTTCGGCAACGACACGTACTTCATCAGTCGAGCGTGTAACGTCTCGGACAGGTTCGCACACACCCAACAGGTATTCGGAGACTTCACGTACGTGATCATGGAGACATACGACAACAACAGCTGCTCCTCATTCGGGGAGGCAGATGTGTTTCTAGCGTCGGGAAGTTGCGAGATCTCGTCCGGGTTTGGAGATCAGTCGGCTATCACCAGTCTCTTTTCCAATGGGTCTGGGTCTGTGACACTGTATCCTAACAACGCGTGTGGCGGCGAGCCTTCGCTGCTCTTTGAGCTTGACAGTGTTGCGCTATCCACGGGTTCATGTCAGCAAGATCTGTATCGCTTTTACAGCAGTGAGAGCGTCTCTAATCGAGTTGGAAGCAGTACTTCTGGATCAAATAACGGCGCAGTTACAAGTGTCAGCGATGACTCCGACAGCTCCAGTGTCAGTATTGGTGCGATAGTTGGTATCGCAGCAGCAGCTCTGGTTGCTGTCTTAGCTGTCGCTCTGTTTATTCTTCGTCGTGTCCGTACGAAACGTGAGGCTGAAGTGGACGAGAACGACGCGTTTAACGAGTTTCAATCTCCTCACAACGGCCACAAGAGCGGGTCTTTGACAGCTCACGGATCACTGGAGACCGCGTCAGTACACGGCCACAGTGAATCTCCCAAACCTCTCGGTCTTGTAGGTTTATGGGACGATGAAGTCATCGCTACAGCTCGGATCCCTCGCGAGAAGGTCATCGTTCTTCAACCCATCAGCCGAGGAGGTGGTGGCGAGGTGTATAAAGGGCTTTTTAACCAGCAACAAGTCGCGATCAAGATGCTGCTGCCTGAAATGCGCAAGAGCGTCAAACATGTGAACGCATTTTTGACTGAGGTGAAGCTTATGGCGACTCTCGACCACCCGCGCACTGTTCAGTTTGTGGGCGTAGCATGGGACTCTTTGACCGATTTTTGTGTCGTCTCTGAGTTCATGGAAGGCGGCGACTTAAGGGGATTGCTGACGAGGTATCAAAATGAGAACCACCCTACAGGTTTCGACCGTACCAAGGTGACCATCGCCTTACATGTCGCCCACGCTCTCACATACCCTCACTCGCTTGAGACCCCAGTGCTGCATCGAGATCTGAAATCCAAGAACGTCCTTCTCACCTCCAGTCTCGAAGTCAAGCTCACGGACTTTCGTATCTCCCGAGAACAAGCCGATAGAACCATGACGGCTGGTGTGGGGACGTCACTGTGGATGGCACCGGAGGTGATGTTAGGGGAGAGGTACGATGACAAGGCGGACACGTTTTCATTCGGTGTCTTGCTGTCCGAGTTGGATGTTCATGTTCTTCCATACTCACATGTAAAGGAGAGGTGGGATGATCAAGCGGCAGACACTTTGACCTTGCAAAAAATTGCTCTTGGGCAATTGCAGGTCGATTTTTCGTCGAGTTCGCTGCCGTCTATGGTGGATCTGGGCTTGTCTTGTGTGTCGCTGGACCCAAAGCAGCGTCCAGCCTCAGCTGAAGCTCTTTATCGACTACACACGACATTATCGCAGGACCTGTTGAACTCATAAGCCAATACTTTTTTTTTATTGTTGTTGAGAGCTTAAACTGGTGGATCCTACCGCTCCAAAGCGCCACCGCTATGACATAGCGCTCGGAAAAACTATTATAATATAATAACTGTGCAATTGTATTGACGGAATAATGGATTATTGGCAAATTGATCTTTCCGTAAAATATGCAATTGTGCCCGTAATAATTATATTGAATTTTTACCCAACGTAAAAAGCAACAGAGAGTAAAGTAGTGGTTGTCAAGCATGCAATCAAAACGAATGGTTTGTGTGAGTTTGCCGGAGGCATCAGGCTGAGCTTTCGTGCCTCTCATTTCATATTTTCGCCAGTGCCATGTCAACTTCTCGCGCCATCTCCAGCTTTTTCTTCACGGACTGCGGCAACAAGCAGTTTTCCTGCAAGCAGTGCGGCAAGGCTCGCAAGCAGACGCCGGGGACTGGCTACACAAATCTCATCAACCACCTCGCAACGAGCCACCCCGGCTACAAGAAGACTTACGACGAGAGCCAGCGATCGTTCGGCCAGTCCCTCGAAGCACACGGCTTCATTGACCCGCGCACTATGGAGATCTTCAAGTGGATGGAGTGGGTTCTCGTCCGGAACATGCCCCTGAGTGAGGTGGACGACGCCATGACGCGTGCGCTAGCTGCAATCAAGCCAGTGTCTTCGAAGACGTTGGTCAAGTACATGCGTCACGTGGCGGGCAAGGTGGGAACGCGTATTGCGGCAGACATGGGCAACAAGTTTGGCCTCATGTTTGACGGCTGGACTTCAGGGACCTACCATTTCATCGCTATCTACGGTGTCTTCACGAAGGACGGGGCGCTACACGAAGTTTTGCTCGGGCTGTCTTCTGCCGAGCACGGCCAGACCGCTGATGCTCACATCGACATGATTGATGCGGTGCTGGATGTCTACAAGAAGGATCGCAGTATGGTCCTGTTCATGGTTGCTGACAACTGCCCTACAAACCAAGCCGTCGCTACGCGCATGGGCGTACCGCTCGTAGGATGCGCAAGTCATCGCTTCAACCTCGCTGTCGGCCGGTACCTTGAAGACTACAAGCTGCTGATCGACCAAGTCCAAACGCTGTGTATTCAGCTGCGGCACGCCAACAATGCAGCGGACCTGGCTCGGTTTACGAAGTACAAGCCGCTGAAGGCAAACGCTACGCGCTGGTCATCCACTTACCAGATGCTGGCTCGCTATGTGGAGATTCGGGACGCTATCAAAATGGTGACAGCTGTGGAGGACCTCCTACCCCGACCAAGCACCCATCGGCAGATAGTCCAGCTTGTCACTAAGCTTGAGGCGCTAGACAGCGTCTGTGTCAAGCTACAGGCCGAAGAAGGTAACCTTGCCGATGTGCGACTCCTTTTCGACGCTGTCATTTCCAAGTACCCAGGGACGGCACACCACCTTAGTGCATCGGCTCGAATCGTCCACTCGCCGGCCTTTGAGAATGCGGTTGTCAAGCTGCTGTCGGATCGACCGTTAAGCGCCGATGAAGAAGAAGCTGTGGCTCGTTTTGCTGGCCCTGCTGATCGCGAACCAGCAGCACCGAACAAGAAGAAGAAAACAGATTTCGCGACGGAAACGCTTCGTCAAGCGAAGAGACCTCGCCGAACCGCTGGAACCAAGTACATTGACGTGCTACAAAAGGTTCCTCCAACCAGCAATCGCTGTGAGCGCCTCTTCTCGCAGTGCAAGTTGGTGCTCAACCCTCTACGCTCCAGCCTGTTGCCAGCTAACTTCGAGATGTTGGTGCTCTTACGCGCTAACCGTGAGCTCTGGGACTTCACTTCTCTGTTGGGGTTCCATGAGTCGGCCGATGAAGATGCAGAGTAGATGAAAGTCACTCAAGAAGGATAACCTCTTATTAGTGATAATATGTCTTATCATTAAATATAACAGGTATAAAACTTTCAGATACAAAACCCATATCCGCTGGTGGACTGCCTGCCGTCGCCGGCGCATTTTTTGTTTGCTAGAGTACCCTAAGCCCGGACAAAAGTCCCGGTTGTAGCCACCAGCTTCTCTTACAGGTGTGGGACTTGAACCCTGTGCAGTGGATTGGTAGGGTCATCCCAAACCACTGCACCGCTCTGACCCTACCAATTCCTGACAATAATTGCAGTACTTATTATTGTTTTTATCGATACGGGAATAACGGATTATTTTTTTTTTCTAAATCCAATACCATATTTTATTTAATTTTTCCGAGCTCTGCGCTATGTGTAAGCACAAAGTCGACAGCACCACGGTAGGGTACATGTATTTGAACGAGGGCCTAGTTCACTGACCAGATTCTAGAACTTGGTACAGTAGTATTAATAGTACTCAGCTTGGCTTCTACTTGGAGACCTCCTTAAAATAAGGAGAGTTGCGATGCAGTACATGTATCCGAGCGGGACTGATGTCTGGATCGTTTCTGCGACTTGTTCAGGTCCAAGCGCAGTTGATGACCGCAGGGAAAGTTTGCCTTGACGGACGCTTAGACCGCGTACACTATACTTCTAAATGTAGCCTGCTTTTAAGTATGTAAACCGAGATCGCCAAAGTGGCGCCAACGCAGCGTCGAGGCGCCCATGTCCACAAGTCGATTCTCCAGAAGCTCGTCGCACGCTCTGTGCTGGCACTTTCTCTCATGTGCACAAGGAAAATCTTCGTCACCGATATTAACACCTGAACTCCCGATGCGCTAGTTATTTTCACGACCGATGAATGCAGCGAGAACAGCAGTGGGAAATCAGAATATGCAAGTAAGTTACACATACTTTGCCTCCGACAATTGTAACATCCTGAAACCCATGGAACTTGGCATGTTACTTGCCGCGGGGGCTTTAGCAAGGTCGACGAGTACATGATCGTCGAGTCTTTCAAGAATTCAAATTGCTCAACACTGATCCAAATTGGTGCGTATGCATTTGGACACTTTCAACATTGCCGACAAAATGGGGTCTACGTGCTCTTCAGCACGTCAGGACTTGACTCAGGTAGTGACAGCACAAGGACCCCCACTAGCATCAATGCAACGAGTGCCCCAGAAATGGACTTAGGAAGCACCTCAAGTACCAGCGGCTTAGTCGATACCCGAAGCAACGAAGCTGCCAGCTTTATCGGCCAAGACACGGATGCCGATACGAATGTCGGTGTCTACGCTCCCGAATCCTCACCGAAATCAGGGCAGAAAAGAGCATTGAAACTGGGCTTACCGACTTCTCCAGCTCGATAGGCTTGGGGCCGCAAAGTCTCGCTGGTCTCTGATGACGACGAACTCATTGCGACGTCGAGGATTTCTCGTGATAAAGTACTAGTGCAACAACTGCTCAAGTGCGGGGGATACGGCCAAGTGTACTACGGTCTGTACAACGGCCAGCGTACTGAACACGTGAACCAGGGCTTCGACCATACCAAGGTGACCATAGCACTCCACGTGGCACACGCACTCACTTTTCTCCACTCACTGTACCCTCCAGTGCTCCATCGTGACCTCAAGTCCAAGAACGTTCGGATTTGCACCAGCCAAGCTCACGGATTTCGGGATTTCTCGAGACAACACTATGACGGCCGAAGTGGAAACGTCGTTGTGGATGGCTCCTGAAGTCATATGGATCTATTGATACACACGTTGCCGTATGCCCACGCGAAAGACAAAAGGGTATAAGATGCCGGATACAGCTATCTTACAGACGGTGGCTTTGGGAAAGATCCGAGTCGAGTTTTCTCCCGGGGCCCTCGATCCCATGGTGGCGTTGGCCAACTCGTGCGTTGCGATTGACCCCACGTACCGTCCGACGGCTGCCGAAGCGCTGTATCACTTGCAAACAGCTCTGCGCGAACTGTAATACTACGTAGTACTTCGAAGGTTTTTGGCAAATTAATTTTTTTCAATATAATTGTTCCGCTTAGTACTTGTTGGTTTTGGTGACGATGTAGACGCGGACGGTCTGGTCCAAGCACGCCAAAGTGCAGAGACCCTCGCGATCCCGACTCCAGTCCATGCTTACAATCGGCTGTGTGGACAGTACACGCGAGTTGAGCAGCTCCACGGTGCCACAGACACCGTACAGTCTTCCGTCCGAGTCTTTCGCCGTTCTCGACAGCGGGTAGTGGCTAGAGACACAAGCAGGGTTAGATCCTACCCTTACAAATCAGTCGACACAGCACTAGGCACTTACTATTTATACAGATTGAAGCCACCGTTGCCTCCTCCAGTCATAAACAAGTCGCGGTTCTGCGGTAAGAAACATCCCTGCCAGATCGTGGACTTGTGCGCCTTCTCCGTCATACAAGCGAAGCCTTGCTCCGGGTGGAATGTCCGCAGATCGTAGACACGGAACTTGGACTCGAGTGTCGTCACCAGCAGTTTGTTCATCTCAATGTCTTTGCGATCGAATTGCACATTGACGACGCCGTTCTGGCAGTTGGTCTCCCATCGCAGCGTGTTGGTGCGCAGGTCGAACATCTTGATATCTCCGTTGTCGTATCCTCCAACGACGCAGCGCTCCACGTCGTTGTAGGAGTTACCGAAGCAGACAGTCCAGCAGTCTCGTGCCGTGTCTTGCTCCTTAGGAGCCAGCGTCACCACCGGCTCAGGTACACGAACGTCCCAGACTCGGATGCAGCCATCTCGTCCTCCTGTGACGATCTCGGGCGCTCCACTGCCAATGTTCTGACCTCCACAGCCGTCTATGGCGTTCACAATGGACTTGTGTGCTTGAGCTGAATAAACGGGGACTTCAGCCCTCTCCAGGTCCCTGTGGTCACGCATTTTCGACGCTCATGAGCTTAATTCTGCAGCTTTTGAGCTCGACGTTTCTACTTACCAAACACTCATGACGCCGCCGTAGTCGCCTGTAGCCAAGTGTCGGTCTTCCAGTGCGGAAGACCCGAAAGTCCCGCATTTGATACCGTGCGTCTTCTCGTGCACTGCGTGTGTCTTGAGCTCGCCCTGGTTAAGACCGAAGATGGTGAGTGCTCCAGTGGCCTTGGGGTAAATTCCCATGGCCACGAAGCGCGCCGAGCCAGGAATCCACTTGGTGTCATTCGGTGTGAAGTTAACGCTGTGGTTCACGTGCTCAATGAGCTGCGGTGCGTCTGTCGTATCCATGGCTAAGGGAAGCGGAAGGTCGTGATGAGGATTGACACAATTGCTGGAACAGGTATCCGTGGTGTCGTTTCGAGGGAAGACCAGTGATTGGCTGACCAGGTTTACATATGTATACATGTAATTAGGGTTTTCCAGATTCAGTAAAATGGGTACAGTTTCCATTTGACTAAAATGAGCACACACCGAATACATTCAGGTCTGCGGGGACATCCCGGAGACTCCCGATCACTGTAGCATTTCCACACGACGCAGACAGCAGCACGTCGTGTGGAAATGCTACAGTGACCGGGAGTTTTCCCGACTTCCTCAACTGCTCTCTTGCATCGAACTGCAGCTCTGTCACCGCCGAGCCGCCGTTGAATGTCGGACGACGTTCTTGGAGTGAGTCCACCACCGGTTTTTGGGCGGCGCTGAATTTGGTGCAAGCTGCGCACGAAGACAGTCCGTGGGCGTCAGCTTCAAGCTTCACAAGCTTCACTTGAGCTCCTCTTCCAAGCCAGCAGTTTTCACTTTAAAATCTTTAACGGAGTATCCGCCGTCCGCCTTGCCATGCGTTTCGACGCTAGGAGAGCAATAACCCGCCATGAGCTCGCTAAAGAGTAGGCAACATCTCAGCAAGCTCTGCTTGCCAAGCAGTAAGGGGGCCACAAAGGCAGACAAGCAGACGCAGGTCGCCAAGCGTGTTGAGGCTGTCCCACTCTTACGCCCAGGTGTCACCACCATTTAAGCCAATCCTGCTGCACAAAACAATATTTAATATCCTTCTTCTTATGAGGTGTTCTTTTCCCATTAACAACCTCAAAAACCTCTCTACTTTACTGTTCAAGTCATACTACATTATTTGCATCTAGCCGACTTAACCTACAATCCTGTACTTTCCCGGTTCTTTAAAGCAGAACCCAAGTCACTTCCCAATTGCATTACCAAAAGTACTGTGGTCATGCCGACAACTGACGAGATAGAGCGGCATCAGTACTACCAGAATGTAGCGTCGGCCACGACCTCCGTCCTCTCCATCATCGGCGCCTTCTACATCATCGGCCGTTACTGGTATGCGCGGAGACTCAAGGCCAAGTCGCTCTCCGTCTACGCGTCCTCCGCGCATCACCTCGACGTCACCAAAGAGCTCATCCACATCATCGCCTACCTCGTACGTATGTATTCTCTGCGCTTCTTCTTGCCTTCACATCTAATAAATCAATTATCGCAGGACCTCTTTGGTGCCACTGGACGTGCGTTCGGCCAGCTGCCCACCGAGACTTTCGACCAAGACGCAGGTGACCCCGTAACGCCAATCTGCAAACTCCAGGCCTTCAGTACGTGCCAGAACGAATATTATTCTATAGAGGTACTGTCATACCAACTACTCACTCTTTCCTTACCGTAGTTATCACGTTTGGAGATGGCGCACCGATCGCGTGGAACTTCATCATGGCGCTCAATTTATACCGCTGGGTTTGTATGGGCGAAGACCAGCAGATGCTCATGAAGAAGATCAAGTGGTACATCGTCAGCACCATGCTCTTCACGGTGGGAATTCCCTCCATTTGCCTCATTTTCAACAAATTCGGAGACGCCGGACTCTGGTGTTGGGTCGTCGTCGAACACGACTCGACCGAGGAGTTGTGGTGGATGTTCGGTGTTTTATACTTTTGGGTCATCGCTGGCGGCATCGCCATGACCGTTTTCCTCGTTTTGGTCAAAATTAACATGAAAAAACGCCTCAAAACCTACGAAAACGACGACGCCAACGACGCCTACTACGCGGTCGTGCACAACCTCACGATCTACATCACAGGCTTCATTTTCTGCTGGCTACCAGCTGTAGTGGACCGAGCGTACGCCACATTTACCGGCAGAACGTCGTTCACGCTGGACTTCCTACACGCCACTATTGTCCCCTTGCAAGGCTTCGTTAACGCCGTTATTTACGGGAAATTCCATATTTGGGTGGTACGACATGTCCGAGAGCCGTGGACGAGCAACGGCGGGTCGTCCACCAAGAACAGTAAAGTATCCGAAGATATGCTACGACAGTCGGTGAGATTACGAGAACTAGAGCGACATCACATGGGCACAGCCACGATCTTTGTCACCACGTTCGATATGAACTGGACGCCGTGTCCTACGAACTTGAGCGACTGGATCCCGGCAGGGAAAGACTTGTACGTCTTCTCACTGCAGCATTGCGTCGAAGTGCAAGCTATCGAGCAGATGATCCGAGGTTATCTTCTGCAAGTAAATTACCCCACGGCGTATCGTTCTATCACGTCGATTGCGGGAACTTCGGTGCGAGGTCACGTCCAAGACGTAAGTAACGCGTTATTTTCCACGTTAATTTGGGAGTTTTTTTTTTACTGATGGAAGCGTTTTTTTTAGGCCTCGGTGTGTCAAATTGTGTTTGTAAATAACGCCGACGATGCCAGTGGGAATGTGAAATTCCAAGCTGCTGATGGACGCATCTGGGCGCAGAGGAAAACGTTCAATGAGGTCGTGGGGATCCCGATCCGGTACTTCGACGCGTCTATAGCGTTCGTATCGTGCAATCTCAGTACATCTCTCGGCAACAACTCGCAACGTCAGTACCGACCGGAGAACAACGTGTTCGCTAAACACGCAGTGGCGTCCAGTCTTGTCCACTCGTTCGGTATGGACGCGGACCGAGCCGCTGTGGATTTCCCGAATTTATACCACCACACGATCCTGTCTGGTAATTTAAATTACGACGTGGACATGTCGACGTCCAGTTTGACGGCAGGCATCGATCAAGCGTACAAGGCCGAGTGTCTAAAGCGAGCGACAGATAGAGCCATTGAAGCTCAGATTAAGGCCATACGAGACGCCAAGAACTCGATCGACAAGAAAAGTGCGGACTTCCAAAACGAACAAACCATCTTGGAGGAAAGTATCGGCTGGAGTAGTCAGCGTAGCAGTGCAGAAGCCTCCAGGTCCGGTGGCAGTGTGTACGAAGAAGTGTACACCTCTTACGACGGCGATCTCCCCTTCACGCTGTTGAAATCGCCTATGGACCCACCGCAACGACCAGATGTCCTCACTCCCGTGATGGATGGCAGCGTGGAGATTACCATCCAAGAAGAAGTCGGTGAAGTAGACCTTAAGTCAAGGGATTGGGCCTCGTTTCTCGACTCTCAACTCCCTGCTCTGTCGTCTGAAAACCGTCTCGGGCTCTCGTCATCCAGTACCAAGCAGCGCTCAAGCGACCGGTTGACGTCGAGTGGCCATTTCGCACGTGGGAATATCAAGAAAATCCGCGATCTACTCTCCAAATCCGACCTGGTAGCTGAAAATACGGCTCGGAAGTGGCTGGAAGTGCTGCGATACGACGAACTACGTGCCTCGATCGAGGCCAAGGAGATCTTTACTGGGTTTGAAGAGCCTCACATCCACTTCCTGCCTTCTTTTCCGCGTAAAATCGGCGTGGCGGCGACGTTTTCGATGGTCGGCGAACGCTCGTGTCGAGATCTTTTCTGCGAACCGGACGAGGAAATGTTTGCGGGCGACTCGTTACCTGCGTATAAGGACCGGATCCTGGCTCATTCGTTGAGTGACACCAAGCAACGTCTCAAGAACGTTGGCTATTGGTCGTGTGAAGACATCGTGACGTCCACGCACAAGCCCGTGTGCAGTATCTACGAGCTGGAGATCGACCGCTTCTTCTCGTACAACATGGACGAGGCTGCCGTCGCAGATCTGCGTCTAGGGAACCACGCTCTGCGCGATAAACGGGATGTGCATGAGTTCAAGATCAAGTTGGTCAAGCTGGATGCCAATATCTGGACGTACGAGGAGCGTGATGGAGGGTCCATACTGCAGAACACAGGCTACCGTTGGCGAGGACAGGGAGGATCCAACCCGTCGAGTAGTCGACGAAGCCAAAGCAGTCGTGGAGCTGTCAACTCGAACAGCACAACGAGCAGCGCAGAGTCCTCGCGTCACAGTGTTCGAGTGTCTATGAGTCGCAGGAAATCCTCGATCGCTCACGTGGTCACTCGTGTGCTTCGAAAGAGTCGACTACGTTCTGGTAGTGGCGGCTCGAGCTACCGAGCTACGACGACTCCGAATCAGTACTCCGACTTCACGGTGGGGTCTGGAGGCACACAACCTGTAGTCATGACGAACGATCGTCTGTCGGCTCTTGCAGCTTCTCGTCTCGAGTTGATCCCAGTGGAGCCTGTGAGTATCTCGACGATCTTCCCATTGCCGTCCGAAGACGTCTATGCGCTGCAACGAAAAGTGTACGAGGTTGCCCATTTGGTGCAGAATGGGTTCCAGTCCAGTGCGCGAGTGGACGACGACGAAGAATCGCAGTTGGCGTACACGAATTTCCGGACGGTGGCGTGGAGAGAAGCCATGTCGAATGGTGTGACCCACTCAGCGATCACCAAGGCTGTGAATGGAGGTGTCCACATTGCTATCAGTATTGAAGCGGAGAAAGGCCACGGAGGACAAGGCGTGCTCTGTCTGAAGGAGTCGGACTTGATGACGCACGCCGCGCCTGTACTGTGCGAAGCCAAGCCGATCCCTTTCGATGTGACTCTCACATGGGGAGGCAGACATGTGGGCTATCTCCACGGAGATATCTTGTGTTCGATGTAGGACCAAAACCTGACACTCTTAAAAGTTATTTATTCTGTTACTCCCATGTCTCCTGCGAGTTCCAGTAACGAGATCGTTGCAGTGTGATCGTCTATCGAAGGTTTCATGGGGCTGAAGTCGTCGTCGAACGCTTCACAGACTTGCTCGTCGTCTGAAGAAGAAGCAGACGATGAAGACGCTGCTGATGGCAGATTGGTACAAAGACATGGAGGTAGTGGAGCTGGAGACGGACAAGGAGCCGACAGTGGCTTAGGTGCGTCCCAGTCTGCCGTCTCTCTGTGGACTGCTACTGGAAGATTGACGTGTTTGACTCGCGCTTCGGCTTCGATTCGTTGTCGTCTCTCGAGTTGCAGCTGCTTACGCAACGCAGCGAGTTGTTCCAGCATGGCATTGTGAAGTAAATTCTTGGCGTTCTTCATCTTTTCGATCTGTGAGCGTTGCGCTTCGACTTGCTGCTCCAGAGCTTGTTGTTCTTCGAGGGAAGACGCACTGATCGTGACAGCTTCGCTCATGGCTTTAGTCGCTTCGTTACGCTGCTTTGACAGCGCTGCAAGGTCCTGTAGCGCACTCTCCATAGCTTGTCGAAGTGCTCGCTCCTCCGACTGCTTCGTCTCGAGTTGGTCACGTAACTCGCGTCGAGAAGTCTCCAATGCTTCGATTTCTACACGCAACGTACAGCCACGTTCTTCCTGCTGCTCAATCGTCTCTTGCAGCTGGCGACAAACATCTTTCGCAGCCAAGAACTCGCCCTCAAACTTCTTACAAGTCTGTAGCTCTAGCTGCACTTCTTGCTCTCGACATTGCAACGAAGAATGAGCTTCTTGTTGCTCTCGAAGTGTAACGAGAACACGTTCGCTCTCTTCTCTCAGCTGTTGACTCTCTTGTCGTGCAGTCTGGAGACTCTCATTGAGCTGCTGCTTCTCCTCTTCCCACACTCTTGACGCGTGTTGAGCTCGTTCTGCTTCTTGTCGCCGCTGAGTCTGTTCGTCTGTAAGTCGCGCTTCGAGCTGGAACTTGGTCTCGGCCTGTTCGTGGATAAACCGAAGCAGCGTCGTCTTCTCACACGCTGCGGTCTGTACGTCGCCTGAAAGTTGCGCCATCTTCTCGTCCAGAGCAACGCGCTCCTTCTCCAATGTAGCCATCCACGACTCTCGCATTGTTCGAGCGTCTTCAAGTTCTTCTTCCCGCTTCTGCGAGTTCTCAAGCTGCGTGCGTAGAGTCGACACGACTTTCCGCTCTTGAGCGAGGTGCAGAGCTAGCGCTTCATTGTGATCTTGTAGCTTGGAGATCTCAAATAGAAGACCCGTGTGGAGACAGCCGTTAAGTGCATACGACTCGAGTCGGGTGTCTAACGCTCGTTGGACGATGGAGAGTTTGTCTCGAGCTTCTTCTCGTTCTAGTTGGCTCTGTTGTAAGGCCTCGTCCTTCTTCTTTAGCGACGTTTCTAACGTCCGTAGACGACAATTGAGCTCGAGATTGCACTGAACTAACGACTGGCCCTTAGTGCCCATGAAGAAACGATGCTCGATCTTCTTGGCATAGTCGCGATTGGAGATCGCTTGATGCTCCAGTAGTTTCCGTTCGGACTGGATGCGATCAATCTACGAGGAATATAATGTTAAAGAGGAAATAAAAAAAAAAACTTTTTAGAGAACTCTTACGAGATGTCGAAGCTTCGAGATCTCTCGCTCTTGCTTTGTATTGAGTTTTAGTACTTTCTTCATCTCACAGCGAAGTTGGTCATTCTGACACCGACCAAAAGGAGCGAGTTTTAGAGAAATAAGAGACGCAGATCGAATAAATATTTTATTTTCTTCACCTTTTGTCGCACTTTCTCCAGAGTTAGTCGTGTTCGGAAGTATCGCGTCTCGAGAGCTTTTAACTCCTTGTTGAGCGACGCCACGTGACTTGTCGGGGCTGGAATCACACGCTCCGAATCCGCCAGTTCATGCTGATTACCGGGAGCTCGAAGCTCGTTCTCTTCTTGACTTTCCTCTTCTTCTGAAGCCTCTTCACGCTCGCCACTATTGACGTTGCAGCGCCGCCTCTGCTTGCTCACCATATCTCCAACTCACGCAGCTATTATCAAGCCCACAGCCAACATGACGTTACTTTTTAAGTTTAAAAAAAAAGGTGTTTTATTAGCATCGTCGCACAAACGTGAAGGAAATGTATGCAAAATGCAGAGAAATCAACTACAAGAGGGAAAAATCAAGTTACACAAGTCGAACTCCTGTCTGCCCTGACTGGCGATTGGCTGTTTATCTGCCTTCGATGCTGACGCCGGTAGCGCGCTTGGTCTTCCTTCCTGGCCTCGCGATCTCCTGCATCCGCTTGGCCAGTCGCGCCTTGCGAGAGTCCGGGTCCGCCTTCTTGGCTTGCACAGCGTTCATGTCGATCTTAGACTGAGGACGCAGCAAGTAGTCGATGTGCAGCTGATCTGGCAGCTCGGCACGCTCTGAGACGTCCGGCTTGACGTCCGCATCAGCTGTGCGGCCGTTGAACACGTTGCCGCCGCGCTCGGTCGCTCGCGCTTTGATCTTTGACTTCTTCTGTCTGCGTCTGTAGCAGATTCAATTATATTAGAAACAACTATACCGTTAGAAAGACGTTAGAAACGCACTTACGCGCGCTCTCGACGACGATAAATCTCGTTCTCCGCCTTCTCGGCTTCCAGTTCCGCCAGCTTGGAGAAGTCCAGCGTCTTGTTGAACACCGCGCGACTCCAACGCTCCACCAAACTGCGACACAGCTCCTTGTTCTCCGGCGTCTAGTACGTACACAGCCAACTATTCAATACTCTGCACCAACCACACAAACCTCAGCCATGCTCTACCTCTTGCGGGTGTTTCATCAACACCATAACCACTTTGCCAAGTCCACTACGCTTCAAATGTTCCTTAAACACTGCAAAAAAAGCACAACAACTATCAGTCTCTACCCCGTTCTTCGATACTTCAACCAACTATCAGTCTCTACCCCGTTCTTCGATACTTCAACCAACTATCAGCTCACCTGGCATCTTGCTGACCATCTCTAACATCTTGGTGCGCAGTCCGACATTCGGCAACGTCCCGTCGTCCAGCGGTTGGATCCATTTCTTCACAATCTAGTCCAAATAACCCCAAAAAGACTCATTTAACCCTCCAACTAGCCTTTGAAACCCCTCCAAACCCATACCGTGAGCAAGTCAAAATCCAGCAACATTGGCTGGAACTGCAGCTTGCGTAGAATATGCAGCGCGTTGTCCACGAGCTTGATCTTCTCGAGAGCTGGTCGACGCTCCGCGATGCTGGCCAGGTCGTCCGCGTAGGCCTTGTCCATCCGATAGAGCACTTCTTGCGTGACCTGCTCCATCTCCTGCGGCGACAAGTTGAGTTTGGAGCGAGAGCGCCCAGTCTTGAGCGACTTGAGCGTTTGATCGAAGAAATCGTCCTTCTGCTCCTGTGTGGGCTCCTGATCGCCCAATGGCCGCTCGTCTTCGAACTGTTGACGGTCTTGGGCGTATTCGCCCAGCACGTCCGCTAGATCGTCGTCTCGGTCGATGAAATCGTCGTCATCTTTGGTGGCTACGGCCTCGTCTCCAGAGTCATAGTCGTCCCCTTCCTCGCGACGTTTCTCCTCCTTCTTGACGCGTTTAGTGGGTGGAGACGACGGACGTTTAGCAGACTTCTCTTCGTCGTCACTCTCCGAGTCCGAGCCGAACAAGCTGCGTAGTAGTGATATTATAGCGAAAAAATTAATTATGGAGATAGTACAAGGAGATTGTACCCCGAGGCGTCGGCTGTAGTTGTCGTGGTGGCTGGAGAGACAAGTGAAAGGGGTTACTATTCAGCAGGAGAGCGGAGAAGCGAAGAGAGAGACGTACGGCGAGGGATCTGCTCGTCCCCAGAGTCGTCCGAGTCTTCGTCGCCGAACATCTCGTTAATACTGCGTTTCTTGCGCTCATCCTCTGGTGGTGGGGGATATCAAGGACGTAGATTTAGAATACGATGTAGAGAGGAGCGATAAGCGGCGTTTTGACGCGGGAGACGCACCGTCGGAGCTCCCCATAGCGGCGCTGGTGTCGGTTGTCTGCACGATTTCGTCCAAGTGGAAAATAGCTTCTTATTAGCCAATTAGATGCGAGAAATTGCAATTTGCTCGAAAGTTGAAGCATGCCTTTAAAAAAGCTGTTTGAAAATATAGTTAATCTACTTCGAAGTAACTAAATTTTAATAAAACAGTCATGTAGCACGTAGAATACATTAGCATTGTGACGTTTAATACGGTCTACAAAAGACAGCTCTGCAGGCACATGACAGCCTGCATCGCGGTTTAGAAAAAGAAAAAAAATAGAACAGCCTCTTGTCGCATTTTACATGATCACGCAGGGTGCACAGCATTGCGTGTTGGCCGCATTCTCTTCCTCCGCTCTCTTGACCCCAGTCGTTGTCGCCACTGTAGACCGCGTGACTTGCTGGTTGGTATTCACCATTGGATACTTCGCTCCTGTCGATGCATTAGTATTTGCACTCGGGAGCACAGGATTGACTGCTTCTGCGTGCGAGAATGACGCTTGAGCGATCAAATTGGCGTTCGGGACCACAGGATTCGGAGCGTCAGCGTGGGACAGCGAGAGTCTGGCAATAGCAGCGGCATTTGGGACTACGGGATTCTGTGTCTCGACGTAGGACATTGACAAGGACGAACGGTGACTACCCGAGTCCGACGAGGCATTTCGAGGACGTCGACCGCCATATTCACTAGACGCGTCGCTCTCTGCGTCCATGTGCTCGCTGCGAAGACTGAAAACCTCAGAGGGCGTGCCTTCCGGTCGATATTGCCGTGCTTGGAGTCCTTTAACCCATCGCGCGGCGTCGTCCTGACTGTCAGCTTTGAGAAGATACGACTGCTCGCCGATGGCGATGGAGAACTCGAGATTGTCGCCGTCCGTGGAGTTAAAATCGATCGTCTGTGTCCGCCATAGGTCGATACAAGCTAGCAGCTTCTCACTTTCCCGACTCTATTAGGTTGTTATTGGTTATCGCGGTTAGTATTGCAGCAAGACCTTATGCATTGGCAGCCAATCTACCTTGTAGTAGGTTAGGTAGTGCGTGGTGGCCTCGAAGTAGCGGCGTTGCCATCGATCGTGACGCGACTTCTTGCGTAAATAACCTGGGAATGTGTCCGATACACTGTAACGTTAGTCTCCTGGCTAGATAGAGACGTAGACGGCACTGTAAAGCCGTGTACCCTTGAGCTCCGGGAGATCCATTGCCGCCTGTACTGACGACGTCGAGTGTGAGATAAGGAAATGCCAACAAATCAGGGATTGGTAAATATGCACACCACATGTACACCAAGTTGCAAGTTGGGCAAAACCTTTCTCTAATTGATGAATGAAAAACCATCACTCTATTATAGACTGAAGTTCATCATGAATCTACAAATATCGCTCTCACTTCCGGTATCGTGGTCCGACCATCTCCTTGGATTTGGTATATTATATTAAAGTAAAAAGTTACAAGCTCAACTGTGAGGCTAGGATAATGACAGCTTCTACGTCTACATCGGGTCCGTAGCTGGATTGCTCGGTTGATTTACTTCTTTCATTTACAGCCTTAAAAGTTATGCCTGTGTGGCGAAAACAGTTCTCGATAGTACGCTTACCTTGTAAATCTTGCCAAATTTCCTTGCTCCATTGCATTGCCTGCAGCTGATCCACAGCATACGCCTTCCTTTCAGTCTCAACACCGTCCTTGATCTAGTCGAAACCCACCGCAACTGCTTCTTTCGGTACTCCAGCTTAAATGATGCAATGATGCCAGCATCCATCGGTTGTAGGAACGCAGTAGTGTTGGGAAGGAGAAACTCCACACAGATGTTGGTACATACAAGATCCCCCAGCTTGTGTGAAGAAGCGTTGTCAAGCAGCAAGAGAATATGGCGTCCACACGCACGCATATCTTTATCCAGATTAAGCAGCCATTCCTTAAAAATAAAGCCCGTCATCCATGCTTTCTTATTAGAGCGATAGCAAAATCCCAGCTCATCGGCTGTACGTTTCTTGAAGCAGCGGGGATTCTTTGCATTCCCCAGAAATAGCACCGGTAACGCGTCAGTCCCATCCGCATTCGCCGTGAGAGCGAGTGTGATCCGAGTCCTATTTTTCTTGGCACCACGGGCTTTCCTTGTGCAAATGGAGCGGGACGGAGCCATAGCATAGCAGAGTCCCGTTTCATCCATATTGTAGATATCTTTAGGTTCATAAAGATTGGTTACATCTTGTAGTCGCTGTCGGCCAAGGGCAACTTTAACAGGATCAGCAGAACCAGCTTCACCAGGAAGCTTCCGGCATCGCAAGCAATGCCTCCGCTCGAACGCGGTTAGCCATCCGTCCGAAAAATTCATATCCCATGCGTCAGGTAGGTTCTTCTGAATCTCACGAGCTTTAAGCCTAATTAAGTCTCGTGAGAGACATATACCACTACCTTCTACTTTTAAAATCCACTCTATTAAGAGCTTCTCCAGAACAGGCGAGGTCACACGTAGCGGTTTCCGCCTCACGCCATCACCGTAGCTGCTGTTCATTATCTTGGAGGCGTCTTTAAGGATATCAGAAACAGTAGTTTGCGCCGGCGCTCGCTTCAGCTTGAACGTCGCTTTTGCCCATGCCGCCAGCTCTTCTTGCGTCATGCTGGGGCAGTCGCTCGCCTTCTGGATGAGATCGCGCTTCTGTTTTATCTTCATCCAGGCTCCCATGGGTATGGGCCGACGTAAATTACGCACTGCTGGACACTAGCACGGTTCTGCTCTTTAGAATGACTGGAGCTGAGCGATTCCCGCCAGAAACTCCCTCCTTAAAACAGCTGCATCGTTTTGCTCAGGGTATTAATTTATACCAGTACCGGAATAGAGAGCGATGTTTGTACATGTATTTGGTATGCGACAGCTAGAAGAAGACAGCAATTCTTGTTTGAGAAAAATCGACCTTGAATTCGGTGACTTGGCTTCACTTTGACATGTGGTCACTTGGCACCACGCTGTGCTTTGCATACAAAGTGGCAGCAGTTTTGGCCGACAGAAGGCAATTGTCGAAGCTCCAGCCTATTAAAAAGGAGCCAAAGTGGTTCATGCAACGCTAGCGTCGAGGGCCTTTATTGTTGCTTTAAGGCCCCATTAGCGATTCTCTAACGTTGCTCCATTTGCCACCTTTTTTTTTACAGGGAGGGGCATTTCAGATTCAGACCACACCATTTCCTGACACACTACCCGTGTTGTCTCATACAGTATAAGCTTGACGATCCTCATCGAGAGCGTTTGAATAAAATACATGTAATAAAACTCTTCTTTGCAATGCCTAGTGAAAAATGGCGCGGGGGCACTTGCAATTTTGAGAGCGTGTATACACTGTACCATGACATCCGTTCATTAGGAAATCTCCACAATACTATAAAAACAATTCTTATAGAGGTTTTGAGGCAACTCTAATCTTGCTCAAAAATGGGCATTTTGGACCGCTGCTTCGGAGTGAATGCTACGTACAGTATATTTATCTATTATATATTTATCTACCTGTATCTGAAGAATACTAATATACTAGTATTGCTTTAGAAATGAGGTAAGCACTAAAAGACTTTTCACTTCAACAATTAGTGGTGCTGCTTCAGAAGTATTGTACAGACGTTGACACGCCGAAAATCTATCTTGCGTCGAGTTTCTTCAAAATGTCAAGGGCTTCAATGTCACCGATTCAAAACTACCCCATTGAGCCGGTTTCACGACAAGGAAACTCCCAGCATTGGAATCTTCATTCCAGCTTTAAATAATTTAAAGTAAGCTCAATAGCACTTCGAAAAAAAAACGTCTTGCAATAGTGCTTGTGGGATTGGGTACCTTGAAGAACGATGACTTTATTTGCGTCCGTGTCGTAATAGACAGCACCGTAGCCGTTGATTGCTTCCGTGTGAAAGACGCCACCACAACTTTTGACCAGGCTCGATCGATGCCTTCTTTGCCAGTAACAACGACCCATCATCGTTCTTCGATTTGTCCTGTTTGGCGCGAGTCAATTAGCGGCAAAAACTTGCAATTTTTTGTATCAAAGAAATTAAAAAGCTTTCTTTTTATTAATGTAGCATTACTTGCAGCATTCACGGCGGGAGGCAGAGGTGATGGAAACAGCACGTCCACTTGTCGATAAATATTGAAAGCCCCCCGGCCAATCCGTCGCCTTGCCACGAAAATCTTCGAAAAGTTGCTAAGGTCGATTGGTCGTCTGCTTCTCGCGAATCCGCTCCTCGAGTTTGCGGCTGCTGTCCACAATATCCTCAATACTAGCGATGCAGTTCTTGATCTGACCAAAGTAGTGACGCTCAGGCGTCGACGAAAAGTCGGACGCACTGCCCGTCGAGTCCCTGCCTCCTTCCTTGAGAGCCAGGAGATCCGAATCCCCGCGAGAGCCGAGCATGACGCGCTTCATGTTCTGCGAGTTCAGCGACAGGCTGACGGGAATCGTCTTGACCGGCAGCACGGGCGACAGCGGCGCCGACAACGCGCCGTCTCGAATCTCCGCGTCATCAGCCGCAGGGTTGCTGGAGCTCTGGGAGTCTTGACGCTGGATAGTGAGGTTCAGTCGACGGTGCTCTTCTGGACTTGGCTCTTCCTCGTCCGTGAGCGAGTCTTGAGGCTGTTTCTCCGCTGAAGTAAGAATAGGCACATCTTCCTCTTCCATTATCGCTTTGTGGAGGGAACTTCTGCGTGCTACTTCAGATGGAGGTGCCGTTAAACTGGTACTGGGGCGTCTGGAGCTGAGTGCACTGTTGATAACGCGGTCCTCTTCCTCCTTGGGCGCGTACTCACCCACCTGCAGCAGCTTCTTCAAGTGATCCTGGCTGCGAGGCGTCAACGGACGCGTTGAAACCTGCTGCATGTACTCATTTAGCAACACCTGACGGGCCTCAACGGTCTCGGGCTGCAACGAGGCTTTGCGGCTCCACCAGATCTTGGGCGGCATCTTGGCGGAGACGCGTGGTGCACGGGGCGCCAGTTTGAGTCTCTTGCCGAAGTGGGAGAAGTGGCGATAGCGGATTAAACGGTGGTAACATAGCCCCTCGTAGTTCACGGACGTTCGGTAGACTGTGTAGGCCAGTGGTGTGTCCGGATAGCGCGTCTGAGAACCGATCACAGACACGCGAAGTTGTCCAGACATGTTGTGGTACCTGGTCGGTGGAGTTGCAGAGTGGCGAGAGTTCCACCAGCAGGGCAGACAACGGGAGAAGATGCCACGCAACACGATGACAAAAAAACTGGCACACTAATTTCGGACTTGGGTGCTACGTCGCAAATGGCAGAATGAGGGTTCAAGGGAAAATAATAGATGGTTACCTGCAGTTTTCCAAAAAATTACCGCAAAATGTACTGTACAAGAGATATACAGACGGGGGTGTCTCAGATAGGCGCACGTAGGTACAAATGTCAAATTGGTTGCAAACTAGAAACCACCACTTACAGGGTAACTTGGAGGGTTGCAACATCAGAGCTCCGTTCTCAGATTTACCACACAGTTGAGCTCAATGTGGAGATCATTTGGAGTGCAAATTTTGTACTACACTCCACATTGTGTATAAATTGCCAATTCGTCAGGTGGCCTCTCGACAAGAGCACAAGGTGGATATTGGTAACGGCGAACAGCGACTGCATGTAGCACTCATCCAATACATCTGCAACTGACATTGCCTGTACGTTTGTAAAAGCATTGGCGCTGTCATTGCGAAAACAGTGCAACAGACTACAGTCTGAGGCGAGAAAGGCTCAAATGTTACCAAGCATCAGTCTTCTCTCTCTCTCTCTCTTGTTGCCACGATCGTCTGACCTGTAAACTGAAGCTATTTCGCCGCAGATGCCGCGTCGAAAGCCGTGTTTGTTTGGGTCTTTATCGCTGGAATCTGGCCACTACTGTAGAGGAACAGTGGCTCGATATGTTGGCAGAACAACTCAAATAAGTCGCCTAACAGGGGACAGGAACACTTCGACGACGCTTCGCTCCTTGTTTAAACCTACGCACGTCACAGCTTCGCCTGAATAGAGTACAGCAAGCTCACCACACATCTAGGGTGCTTGATTAGCTATCGGCGATAAGTGGATGATTCGGCACGTCCGTGGCACCGAAAGTGATATGAAGGAAACAAGCTTAGATGCAAACCTGTAAATGACAGGAAGTGGTTTTTAGAACAATGTTCTGGACTACAATCATGAAATATCAGTTGCCAATCGCAACTTGCCATCGCAACTTGCCATGGGATCATGAAGTGCTGGAAATTTTGCCTTAGCTGATCCGGTAACTAGCCCAAAGATTCTGGATGATATTGAATGATACTGAATCGATGGTTGTGGCTTGTCGAACAGAATCCCTTGCCAAAACGGTGTTAACATGCACTACTTGTACTTGCTAGGGGGTTTCTTGACATGGACAATCAATCTCATCACTCGTTACTCGGTGGTTCATAGAAATTCGCTATCACTATCTTCGTGGATGGTGCTCTGTGTCATCTTCTCGCTTGCCAGGAAGCTCAAATGTTGCAGCATGCCAATATGCTCCTGGTCCGCTTCCCTCCTCGGCTTTGTATCCAGCACCGCCACTGTGCCAAGTGCGTGTCCGTCGCGCGAGAAGATGGTCGCGCCGGCGTAGTAGCGGATCTTGACTGCGCCCTTGTCGCCCTTGACCATCGGATTCTCACGGAAGCGCTCGTCGTTTTTCGTGTCCAGCACCACCAGCACACTCGGTTGACAAATCGTGTGTGCGCAGAACGAAAGTTCACGTGGCAGCGTGGTATGCGCCATGCCAATATTTGCCACCAGCAGCTGCTCTTCGTCTTCGATGATGCTCACATACGCTATCGGACATTTCATCGTCTTTGCGGCAACTTCACAGTACATGTTGAACTTGCCAGACAAGCCGAGCTCACGGATGTTGAGCTCGCGTAGTACAGTCAAACGGTCGTCCTCGTCCACTGGATAGGGCGGTTCCGGCCACGGGTTGAGCCACATGCCGCTGCTGAGTGTGCTACTGCGGTTGCGGTCTGGAGCTGAGCCATTCGACGTCTTTCGACTCGAGTTGGACGAGTGCGCACTGCCGCCTCCAGGACGAAGGAAACCCGTGGACCCGGCCGACGTTGGGCTATCGAGCGAATGAAACGCTACACAGGAAACACAAACACGCATAGACCGGGACTGGATCCGGTGATACAACGAGCAGCTGTTGCAGATGACCTCGCCACACGCTCGACAATGGTGTTTACGCTTGAACATGTTGAAGCGTTTGTTACAAATGTGGCAACTGAAACGGTCGTCGTCATTGACCCAAGACGTATGTTGAATCACATCCAGTCTCGGAAGTGCAACTGCGCGCGACGACCGCGTGTTGCGGAAAGAAGACTTGCGTGACGGCAGACGCGACCTCGAGCCGGGAGTGTGGACCATTTGTCCTTGACTCCCGTGTGTGTTGTGCATCTGAGAGGCTCTAAATCCGCCCATAGGAGTGAGCGAATCAATCGACTGAGACTTCCGAAGCGAGACGCGATGAGACGCACGAGGCATCAGTTGGCTGCTCTGTTCGTCCACAGTGTTGAGGTTGTGCTTGGGGAAATTGTCGTTATACGTAAACATGTCGTCCGAGTAATCCGAAGACACGTCCGAGAAGCCCGAACCTTCGATTTCATTGGACTGCGACGTTACCGACCGCGGAGATGAGCCCGACGACGCCGTTGAGCTCTCCGTGTACTGCGTCACCGCCTGCATCTGTTGTTCTCGCTTCAAGTTCGCCAGTTTCCTTGCATTGTCAGCTTCCACACGTTTGGCACGCATCCGTCGCCGGTATCTAAAGCGACATTGCAACATCCGGATAACCGCGAGATAGCGTACAAACTTCTTACGTTGCACTACCGTCCGGATAAATCCCTGTACTTTGCCTGCGTTCCTCTTCCGGATCATCATAATCTGTCGACGACGACGCAATTTCTGCTGCTTCTTGTAGCGATATCGAATCTGAAAGGTCTTGACCGCATGGAGATACTTGAGGTATCTCGCACGCGCAGTCACGCACAAGACCGCGTAGAAAATCTTGATCATGTGACGATGTAGACGCTGGGAGCGCATTTCCTCGAGGAATTCGTACGTCGGCTTCTTCATGAACATTTTGGTGAATCCCATCTGGATACCCACCGAGATGCACTTGGTGGTGAACTGACCTTGATCCGGTCGTTCGCAGGCGCCTTGAGGGTTGGCATCGTTCTCCTTGGGGATCACATCCAGCAGTTCTTTCAGTAACTCCCTCGCCTCGCCACTAACGACAGCCATCCCGTCGTCAGAATCCGTATCGGGTAGTCCGAAGGACGTTCCCTGTTTTTTGGCAAGTAGCGGGTTCTTGGTCCTCTTTAAACTGAAATACCGAGCCACGAACACGTCAAGGGGTAGACGGATCGGGTACCCTGCTCTCGCCACTCGAATAGCCTCCATGACACCATTGCAACGTAGTTGGTTCAGCACACGTTCACGCTCATAGATCCCTGCCTTGCACAGCTCATTGGGCTTGAGACAACGTACGTAGTGTGGGTTGGTTCGTTGCAACGTCTCCAACAACGTTGTCAGCTGTTCCTTGAACTGGAGACCAACACTCGCGCCTCGGTTCTTACTGGTCTGTGCACGTTGACGTGGAGAAGACTTGGCACGGTCTCGTGAGCCTCCGAGACCTTCACACAGCACGCGAGTAAAACTGTCTTCTCGTGTGGAATACACCAACATATCAACTGCTTCTTGGTGTAAAACATCCTTGTTTTTCTCCAAAAACCCATCGGACGAGTACTCCACGTGACCTGCATAGTGAACGACAGTGAACAGACCCCGGGCGCGTTGAATCCTGGAAGCTTCAAAGCGAGGGTGGCTGCCACACGCGCGATAGAGCTTGGACGCTAGCGTCGTGTCACTTCCTTTCGGCATCACACACTCTTCGTCAATAAGCGACAGAATGCCCGTTGGCCGCTGCGAAATCAAGTTGACACAGTCCTGGTTATCACAGAACTCAATGTACTTCCAGTCCACGCCTTGGGACTCGTATTCCCGTTGCTCGGCCTTGAATACGTAATCATTGAACTGCTGTTGCAACGTCTCGTTGGCAAAGTTGATGCAAAGTTGCTCGAACGAATTCTTCGGAAACACTTCGAAGCCGAAAATATCGAGAATGCCAATAAAATGCAACCCGCCTTTGGCTTTCTCACTGTCGTCCATCTTTAAAAAGTGGTTGATGTTTTTCACCATCCAGTCGAATAAACGTCCGTACAACGCCTTGGCCAGCGCGTCACGTGCGTTGTTTGCCTGCGCTGCTGACAGCTTCATACTCACAAAATCGGTACCGGCGCGGATACGACGTACACTCAGCGCACGCTCCAGTTTAGTCGCGTCCACAGCCATCAGCGTCGCTGCCGCGTCACGTGACCAGATGCAGCTTGGAGCCAGGTCTGATTTATCCGCTCCAGGCCCCATAGATTGTCCTAATCTGTCGCTGTTTTCGTCGTGTTCAAAGGACAAGTTGCCAATGTGCATGAGCGCCGCGAGGATGTCGAAAATACCTGCACGTTCCACCTGTGTGAAGCCCACAATGTCCATAGCGTCCATGACTCGTCGGAACATATCCGAGTCTTTAACTCCATCCCGACGTTCGTAACACTCGCTCTGGTTTAAATTCCGATAGTGCAGGAACTGACGTGTGGCGTCTGTGACCTCCCCGTGGTCTCCAGGAGGCATCGTGTGACCTTTCGGAGGGTCTAGGAACCATCGCTTGCGCGCGGCAGGAGCTGCGCCGATTGCCATTTCGTAGAAGATATGGTAATTCCGCTCGCCTTTGGACTGCGATACGAGGCGCACCTTCTCGAGTAAATAGGTCTGGATACTGGCACCTGTGAGTCTGCCACCACTAGTGAAGTGCAACTTAATAAACTTGCCGAAACGACTCGAATTGTCGTTGCGAAGAGTGCGTGCGTTTCCAAAAGACTCGAGCAGAATGTTGGTCTGCAACACTTTAGCGGCAATTCCCTCGACACTTTTTCCCATAACAGATGCGGCGAGATTATTTGCACCTGCTTGTGCGAGATATTCCATTAGGAATTTGGTGCTCTCGGTCTTGCCACTGCCACTCTCTCCACTCACGAGGATACTCTGGTCGCTCATGACGCCGTTTAGTCCTAACATCATGGCCTTGTAGGCCTCGCCTGCCACTTGATAGATATGGGGAGGCATGGGGTCGCTGCCTTTATTGCGCATCGAGGAGCTCCTGGACTCGAACGACAGCAAATACTTGGCCAGCGTGTCTTTACTGTAGGTATTGGAGATCTTCTGGAAGGGGTTCACCGCTAGTAGGATGGCTCCCGTGTTGGTGTAGATCTTGTGCTCTGCGAAGCGCGTTTCGAGCGCCGAAAGAATCGTCGTCTCGTCCAGCTCGATGAGTTGCGTGAGGTCGTCCACATCGAAGCGCTGGCCCTGACCGGGCGAGAGCAGCCGCACGTCGGGTGCTTCCTGGTTCACATCGGCCGGTACACCGCGCTCTGCGACGCTGCCATCCTCGAATTTGACGACGATCACGGCGCCGGACGCCTCGATGGGGCTTACGTAGCGGTCGATGACCTGTGCGCGTCGCCAATTCTGCGGAGCCACCTGCACTTCCACCTCTGCGCCCACGTCCATGGTCGAATTGGACACTGCGCCTCGGTGGTGCCTCTTGCCGCCTACTTCTGGATGGGAAGGTGCTCGGGCTTCTTCGTGCACTCTGCCAGGCGGGCCGTTATTGTGTGAGGGAGTCCGACTCGATCGCATCGGTCGGTACCCGGCCCACAACCCCACACGATCAGGAGCGGACGGTGGTACTCACTTACTTCCCCCCTCTTAGATCCTATTTTCATTTAATACCCATTAATTTGAAAGAATCGACTTGCACCGGGTTATCTTCTAAATGTTGTGTAAACCATGCAAATCTTTCTATATCTTATAACTTGTAAGCCAAGGTTTTTATTTTCAAAATGGAAAAACAGGGCGGGGGAAAGTTTGCTTTTTATAGAGCATAGTAAAAGCAAGAGGTTGTAGTTCAGTTTATGCTCGAGACCAGACGGCTACTGTACCGAAACGAACTGTCTCCTGCGCCGGCAACAGAGGACGCGGTGCCTCCTGCACCTCGAGTGGAAAATTGGCGAAACTGCCACTCAATATCCTTGTGCAGACGGCGTTGTAGAAGTTTGTTGGGCGTTGCAATCTTCACCGAGGCGGCACTTGCTGGCTGGCAGCGTGGTAACATATGCACGTTTCTGTTGGAGTTGCCCAAGTGCAGGTTGCACCTGTGTCTAACGCAACACGAAAGGCATCCTCATTCGCTTGCTGGAGCCGGTGGGCACTTGGCATTCACCGACGTCTTGTAACGGTCCGGCAAGTGCCTGTCACTGCCGTTGCCGCCTCAGTACTGTAGACGATAGCGCCGGTATGCGTGGAAGCCTTTCATGCCCCCCACAACACTTTACAACGTGCGTTGGTCGTCTACCAAAATCCAGACCCCGAATTTTGGCTCGCAAAAATACAGGCAACTGCGCGTGGTTTACAACTTGTTGTGCGTACGATACTGTAGAAAAAGTCATTCAGCATTGCAGAGATTTGCCCACAACTTGGCTACACGAATGAATTTGCATTTCTGCTTGGCTGCTGTGGTATCCGGATACAGTGTACATGTAGTACTTTAGTATGTAAAGTCCTGAAAGACCCCAACCATTAGGATCCCGAGCATGGGATCCGATGCGAAGTATTACACCATCGATGCTTCACCCTTGACGTCTTTTACACGAGCAGAGGGAGGATCGGAGACTCAACTATTAGCATACTATTGGTGCATTCCCATCCACAGCCTCCTCTATCCTATTTGATGCGTCTTCTTCTTCTTCTTTCCACGGTTCAGAAGCTCTTTCTCGCGCGGAACCAGTCGCAGCTCGCGGACTGTCGTCAAGAAGGCAAAAAGGAGCGAGCCCAGTGTCTCGTGCGTCAATACGCGCACGTCGCCGTCTCGTCGATGATTTCTCAACGGACGTTCGCTGCCGTTTGTGCTGCGATCTAAACATGACGAAGACGACGTATTCACGATCACTTGGCCGTCTGCTTGTACTACTTTAGTCACGACGAGGACCATCGAGTGGTGGTCCACTCGGAACTCGGCCTTGCTGTGTCATATACACAACCAAACGTCAGCCCTTAAGGCGTCACGTCTCGATCACAAACATAGCGATACACTTACACAACTTGCAACAACACTTGGACACTGTGCAGCTCTGCAGCTGTCATTGGCGCAGGCTGCAGTAAGACACTGGATAAATAGAGAGCGAACTGACCGATAGAGTCCACAGGCGGCTCATCCGAGTCGGTGGTCCACGCGGTGCTTTTGTTGCGTCGTTCGCGGTGGTATTTCTGGATCAGGATGAAGAGAAAGGTCGGAAAAGGTCGATGTGTTTTCGCCTCAAACTCTGCTTCTACTGCGCAGCACACACACGTGAGTACACGCTCGTTATCTTTTGATAAACGACGAGGAAACGAACCTGCATCGTTGATATCTGCTAGTGTAGGCGGAGTCGTCGTTCCCAATGCAGCCATATCTCTCTGCACACGGTCGCAGATCTCTGTCATCGCAGTCTTCAGCTGTGCAAAAGCCACCACATACTGTCTCGCCAGCCATTGAAAGTGGAAAGCTTGCCGCCTCACTTGGTCTTCTGGGTCTAACGTCTCCATGCCCACTAAACTGTGTCGACGTCGATGAGAAAGAAACTCAAAGTGCGACGGATCATCCTCCAGTTTGTTAACCCCCGGAAAGCGATACCTCATCACCTCTGTGGATACCGAACGGAACGTCTCATCCACGGCCTCGTATCTGGATTCCAGGCCTTCTGCAATTATTCGCAATCTATTCACATCCAGCGAGCTGAAGCGCGCTCCCTTTCGCGCCCCACACATCATTAAAATCTACCAAAAAAACACACCAAAAGTCAGTAATGTCTCTCGTTCCAGCAAAAGTAAACAAGGCATTGGCAGTTACATCATTCAGCACGTGGAGATAAATCCTCTCGGTAGCGCTGCTGAGGTTCAGCGTCTCGCATTCCTCAGGCGTGGGCTTGTGGTAGCGCAACCCGTCGATGAAGCGCAGCATCTGCGTCGGCGGCTTCACATTGTACGCTGTATCATCGAAATTCTGTAATAGCCGCAACAATTGTCAAGTGATTGTCACTCGCAGTGCTAATAATTGGCAAAAGTGCACCTCGAAAATAGGCTTCTTGACAACTTTGCGCAGTGCCACGTCGGGTAGCACGAAGCGTCCGCTGCCGGTGGTGGTGGCTCCTGCCAGCTGGAAAACAGACGCTGGTCGTGGAGCTGGCGCTGGGAAGATCACGTTGATGTCGACGGACCCAAAAGCTGCCGACAGCGCCGCTGGCTCGGCGCTAGAGCCGCTCGTGTGCGCCATCACCGCAAGTGAAGTTCTCCACTGTTCAGTTTTGTATCAGGATGAGTCCTTAGCCCGCAGCTTGCATCTGTTTGGCTATAAATAGATTTTGTGTGATGTGATTTGACAATATCCTCACTTATCAATCAAATATTGACCAATGTACGACGAAGTATCCATCAGCTTCAATAACGATGGTGGGCAAGACGCTGATCGTCGGAGGCGGCTTGACGGGCGCCGCTCTCGCGCGACTGCTGCAAGAGGCCAAGGCGGCAGCGACTTATGCATCGGAAGTGGTAGTATGGGACCGTAACAGTATCCTTGGAGGGCGCGCCATGGCCAGGTACGGCTCTGTTAGCGACGCGATACGGTGAGCCGGACTGACAATGTGGTTAAGGTCGTTCCCAAAGCAACGAGGGGTCCACGTGGATATCGGGGCGCAGTATTGGACGCCAAAGTCCGATTTGAATGACGATTTCCGCCAGAAGTTGACACAAAGTGGCTACTTGGTGCCATTCGCAGAGAACGAGATCGCGCAGGATCCGTACAAAGGGACAGTCAAGACGCATTTGGTTTCTCCTAACGGCAAGGGATTTCGAGCGATGGTGGAACACTTATTGGAGGGTAGGCCACTAGTAAATAGCTGTAAGGGACGACGTAATGGATTTTAATGCTTGTGGTATCGTTAGGGACGGAGACGAAGATGTCGACGCATTTGGAGAGCTTCCAGGTACTGGACGAGAACCGCATCCAAGTTACGACCAGCGAAGGCAACGACGAGATTGTGAACGAGTTGGTGTTGACGTGCCCCATCCCGAATGTAAAATCCCCGTTTATAGTTTCTTTCGTGTCGTCCCAAAGCTCAATTGACACTTTTGAACAGGTTCTGTCGATTCTTAGCAAGAGTAGCTCATTCCACGTTGCGCCGGAGATTCTGCGCGCATTTGAGGGCGTAACGTACTCGCAACGCTTTGCTGCAGCTTATGTCTTTGACGAAAAAGTGGTGCCGGCAGTACAGGAGCTGGGGTGGACTGCCAAGTACGTCCCGCGCGACGAGAGCGACGTCATCCGCTTTGTGTGCTGGGACCACGTCAAGAAGAAACAAGGCGGGACGTCCCCGCCAGCGTTGATCGTGCACACGTCCGTAGCCTTCGGGGCCACGTTCATGGACGACTCTCGCCACAACGACGAGATCCTTGCCCTCATTTCCAAGTCGCTACGTGAGGTCTTGCCGTCGCTCCCAGCTGAGCTGGATGCGCGTCTGCATCGCTGGCGGTACGTCTGTTATTTGCTGGTAGCAGCCATTTAAGTTGCCTCATGTGTATGTTGTTCTTCGCGCACAGCATCTCTCAAGTGGCCGTGCCGTACCACGACTCGAGCAGCGCAACGGGGGAGGATCCGTCGTCGGCTCTCTTGCTCAGCGCCAACCCGCGTATCATCGTGGCCGGCGACAGCTTTCTTGGTTCAGCGTTTGATAATTGCATCTTGTCTGCCAAAGTGGCTGCGAACTTGTTGCAAAGTAACAGCGCTCTTTAACGACCGGAATTATCCCGATTTTGCTGGGAAAATTAAAATGAAAGGTTGTATCCATTTGTATCCATGATATTGGGGGCCTTCAGAAAATGACGCAAAGCACAGGCATTTGCGTGCAGAAATGCGATAGCCAACAAGTGCATTTGTGATGATACCGGTATTTGCGATTCAAATCTCTAAAAGAAAAACACACAAATTTGTACCAGCTTGCCTGGCTGCGGGAGCTCGAACCTAAGTAAATACTGCGTTTGCGACAAAGTCAGCTACGCACAAACGCCGCTGTAGGGAGGTTTTGTTGCTGCACCTTCTTAGAAGTAGCTTTAAGGAGCGGTGTAGCAGAAGATATACGAAGAAGGGCTTTATGGCAGCTTTGTAGCGGTGGTGTCGCTGCCACCTGTTTCGCTCGAGCCGAGTTTTCCAAGAACTACACGGTTAAGTGGCGTCCCAGTCAGCGAGGCCGCCCTCCTAAAGTACGCTCTCTACAAGCCCAAGCATGTACAGCATCTCAGGCGTGGTCCACCCCCTTCCTCGGACCATTGCAATGTTTGTTATTGTGATGTAATTACAACTACTAGCCGAGCGCTGCCACTACGCGGCGGTAGTTTATGTGAAGTGTGGAGGAAGAGCCAGGACTGCGTCCAGCTCAAACCGGAGGCTCATGTGCCTCCAGGACTTCGACGGACCATTTGCTGGCGAGCCGCCAGCCCCATCCTACTGATAATCCTAGGAATATATGTTACCGGGGTTTTCCGTGTGCTGCTACACACTCGACAACTTGCGCCGTCAAGAGCAAGAAGCAGCACTCGGTTTTCTCCTCCTGCTGGACTTTCAGTCCCTGCAACTAACTGTTGTTACGACTACTTCCTTCATCGCAATAAACACCACTCGGCGCAGCCGAGGAGCGACCATCACTCAGGTTATGAGCCCAAGAAGGAGAGCTGGAAGCCCAGTCCGGAGTAAGCAGAGCTCGCGCGCGTCCGACGAGTTGCAGTTGCCTGCAAGAGCAGACGAGGCAACGTCAGACGAGGCACATGCGACGTCGCAAGCGTCATCAGCCCGAGTTGAGCAACAACTCGAGCTCCTATTGGCCCAATTTGGTACCGTTATGACTACATTGACCAATCAGCAGCAAGTACAGAACATTCCAGTGGAAACATCCACCCGGCGCCCACAAAGGCAGCTCATTCAAGAATTCTCAGCGGCTCGAGCACAACCGCAGCGAGTGCCGACGCCGTACGGGCCCCGCCGAGGAAACCCAAGCACAATAGAGGAACTTACCGCTGACGCCCTCACGCGTCAGAGCGAGCCGCCAAGAAACCCAAGACCGTCCGAGGCTGCAGCGCAGCCAGTCCAGACCGAGGCCAGGACCGACTCCGCTACGGACGAACCCATTGTTGGAGACCACAGATGCACGCGGTGCATGAACCAGAGTGGACACGTGCAGTTAAACGCAAAACTTACCGACAATAACTATCAGACGTGGCGGGTCGAGATTTGCTCCATTCTCGACGTCGCACACCTCTTGGATCCCATCATGGAGCGCGAAACGATGGCAGACCAACGTAACGAAGGACAGCGCGGCTGTTTCAAGCAACGACTGCGTGTTGCTCAACGTGAACTTACGATGGGACGTAGTCAAGAACTACAGATGCGATTTACAAATGTTATTCAACGTGCTGATCCTATCCTACTGTGGTGTACACTGGAAGATCACTTTGATAACCATCTTGGAGTAACCAGCGTGTTTCTCAAGCGAGATATGCTGAATCGTCGCCTGCAACGTGACGAACGACTTGACGATTACATTCGTGACATTGACGACTACCAGCAGAGACTTCGCCGCGCGAACAAGCAGTTGCCTGAGAAGGAAGCCGTCTCTATCCTATTGTCGAATACAGTGGGTGTGTACCCAGCGGTGGTAAACGAGCATGAAGTACGCATTGGACGTGATGAGTCCATTACGTGGGAGTAAGCGATCGGCGCCTTCGGCTCGCTGACCACTCACGCCAAGAGACCGAACTTCAGCAAGGACGTGGTGGAGGTGGACGTGCCGTCCAGCGAGATGTTGCATTTGTTGGTGGTCGTGGCGACGGACACAACGACGGAAGAGGACGTCGAAACTCGAGCAGCAGCCAAGCACGAGGCAACAACAACCGCAACAATCGTCGCAGCCGCAGCTCATCGCCGCGTGAGCGGAACAAGTGGCAGAAGAGCAAGAGCTCATTCAGTGCGAGGGATGACATCGCCAAGCGTAAGGCGAAGACGAAGTGCAACACGTGCGGAGAGCAAGGACATTGGAGTGGCCATCCTGAGTGGCGATCCTGAGTGCCGCCAGCGTAGCAACAACAGCAACTCCGGCAACAACTCGAGCAACCCGCCGCGCGGGATGATCGATGTGGTTACTGTGAGGACAGCCAAGGCGGCTGCACCGACTCAAGCTGAAGGACAAGAGCGTGTACTCGCACAACATCAACTACAAGGACAAGGACAAGGACTAGGACATGGTGGAGTGGGTGTTGGATAGCGGCGCGCAGACCAACGTCTCGAGCGACCTTACCTTGTTTACGGAGCTACACGAAGACTCAGTTGTAGAGCTAGTTTTCGGCAACGGCACAACCGAGCGCGCAACTGTGGGCACAGTGCTTATGCAAGTGCTGAACGAGCACACGGGCAAGATCGAGGAGCGCCTCCTTGATGACGTGAGCTACTCCAAGTCGGCTGCCTACAACCTGATCTCGCAGACCTACATGCAGTTCAAAGGAAACTCCAAAGTGCGCGTCTCACATGATCAGAAGACTACGTGGATGGTCAAGGACACCTTGAAGCTGCGCTTCAAGTATATCCGCGGGATGTACCGCATGTGGACGCCACGTCAGAGCAAGAGCGTGATAAGCATCAAGGCCAGTGAAGCTGAGAACCCCATGACGTTGCTGCACAATTGCATGGGCCACGTGAACATGGAGACTATCAAGACTATGGCAGGAAACTATAACTTTGGCATCAACATGCAGTCGAAGAATTTTGCTCTCTATGAATGCATTCCATGCTTAGAGTCAAAGACGAAGCGCATAAGCTACAAGCGCAAGCCGTCTCGCTCTACAAAGCTCTTGCACAAGCTTTGTGTCGACCTATGCAGTGTTGGAGTGGACACAATATCGAAGTCAAACCAGTTTCTATTGATTATCGACGAAGCTACGAGATACAAGTGGGGATTTCTATTAGCCTACAAAGACGAAGCCACGGAGCTGATTCAGAAGCAGATTCGCTGGATCCAGAGCCAGTTCCCGAAGGCGACCATCAAGATGCTGTTCTCTGATGGTGGTGGCGAGCTCGTCAACATGCAGCTCGAGACCTTCTGCAAGGCCTCGACATCGACACGCGCTCATCCAACCCCTACAGCCCGCAGGAGAACACTATCGTGGAGCGCATGAACCAGACCGCCATGCGGCAGGTCAGATCTATGCTACAAGCTACGCAAATGCCTATCTCATTATGGGGAGAAGCCTTCCTACATGCAATTGAGACGCTCAACAAGACGACGACGCCGGTGTTGAAGGACCAGCTGTCCCCGTACGAGGCCCTGTACGGAGAGCGGCCAGACCTCAGCGTGCTGCGCACGAGGGGGTGCTTGGTGCACGCGCACATCCCGACGACTCTCGGCAGAGAAAGGAGAAGCTCACTTTAAGGACGAAGATGTGCTTACTACTTGGCTACAGCGAGAATACCAAGGGCTATAAGCTGCTGAGCCTGCGCACAGGATCAGTGACGACGTGCAGAGATGGAAACATGAAGGCACATGAGAAGTACACGGTGAACACTGTGTATATTGATCAACTTCTTGCAAACACCTACGCTTACGGAGACTACGACCTACTTGCGGAGATCCCGATCGTGCCGATCCGGACGACAATGTCTACGTACCTGCAGCTGCCTGCAGAGCTTGCAGAAAGGCGAGCAGCGGAGATGGTGAAGCTGGTCACTGCTGGTGAGAGCCAGGACCAAAGTGTTGAAGTTGAAGCCGAGTCTGCGACTCGAAGTGGTGACCCACAGCTACCAAGCGAGGACGCTAAGAAGCCAGCCGCTTCAGTGGGAGGTTCCAAGCGGAAGAACACAAAGGGCAAGAATAAGGCGAAAGCATGTGCAAATCGAGTGGGAGCCTCGAAGACCAAGGACAGTCGACGTGACGCTCGCGAAGGCGAGAACTGGGATACATGCACGAAGAAGAAGTCGTCGCCAGACGACAGTGCAGCTACCTCGCGACCGAAGCGAAAGCAACAACCATCCGCCCGACTCAAGGACTACGTAGTGACGAATGTGACGAAGCAGAACGTCGAGGATGTGCAGATCCCCATTAGTCACAAGCATGCGGCAAGGTCAAAGAAGTGGAAGGAGTGGAAAGCAGCGATGCAAGTTGAGATGGACTCACAGCAGCACGAAACTTGGGTGCTCGTGCGACGCACGGAGGCCAAGGGCAAGCGTGTTATTTCGTGCAAGTGGGTGTACGCACTCAAGAGAGACTCTACGGGCCGGATCAAGCGATATAAGGCTCGACCAGTGATCAGAGGCTTTGTACAACGCATGGGCATCGACTACAGTGAAACATACGCACCTGTTATCAGATTTGAGACGATCAGATGCGTGATCGTATACGCACTGCAACGCGGATGGGCCATCTTGCAGTTCAACGGCAAGACCGCGTTCTTGTACGGTGATCCCGACGAGGAGGTCTATATGGAGCAGCCTCCAGGCTTTGGAGAAGACTCTACACGCTACGTATGCAAGCTACAGAAGAGTTTGTATGGGCTAAAGCAAGCGCCTCGCGGTTGGAACAAGACATTGCACAAGTTCCTGACGAAGATCGGACTCGAGCGCCTCGACTCTGACTACGGACTCTACGCCAGGAAAGTGGGAGGAGAAGTCACCATGTTGCTCACGGTGTATGTCGATGGGCTACTGCCCCTCGGCCCTAGTGACCTTTGCGCTAAGGTTGCTAAGCAACTCAGTGAGGAGTATGAACTCACATCTCTCGGACCAGTCAATTATCTACTAGGCGTGGAGATACTGATCGACATCGAGCGTCGACATGCGGTATTTTGTCAGCGGCAATATATTACGGAGGTGCTAAAGCGATTTCACATGGAGGGTTGCAATGCGGCTGCAACACCGGAAGCGCTGCGCGCTGAGGTGGTCATAGATGCAGAAGATGACTCCCCGCCCCCGTACCGAGAGCTCGTTGGTGCACTACAATATCTGGTCTAGGCCTCAAGGCCGGACATTGCGCACGCTGTGCGTAATCTCAGCAAGTACCTGTCCTGATTCGACCACACACACTACGCTATGGGAAAGAGGGTGCTACGCTACCTGAGTGGTACTCAAGACCACGGCTTAGTGATGGACATTGTTATTGGGAACGACGTCAAGCTGACGTGTTACACCGATGCTGACTACGCTAATGACCCTGATGAGCGAAAGAGTGTTAGCGGGTTCGTGACGTTCGTCAATGGTAACGTGGTTTCGTACGGATCAAGAAAGCAAGAGATCAACGCACAGAGCACAACGGAAGCAGAGTATATTGCCATAAATGAAGGTACGAAAGATCTACAGCGGCTACGTGGACTCTGTGAAGAACTATGCTGGGAGTTCGCGACTCCGGAGATTATCGGCGATAACAAGTCGTGCATCTATCTGACTGCCAAGCCTGGCAAGCACATCAAGAGCAAGCACATTATGAACAAGTTCCACTTGGTACACCACCTCGTGGAGGACGAGTAGCTCCGGATTCGCCATGTTGGCACCGACGACATGATCGCCGACGCGATGACGAAGCCGTTGCCGAAGGACAAGCTCGAACATTGTCGTGATGGGATAAAGGTGCTGCGCATCGACCGCCAGCAAGGCTCAGCTCGTTCAGTGGGAGCCAAACATCATCGCCATGCGTGAATGCAAGCTACTACTACTAGTTCATGCATGCGAAGGACAAGAAGGCGGAAAAGAGCTACCAAGGTGCTGCAGCGCAGCTAGAAGATACCAAGGCCATCGTGGTGAGCTCTACAAGGTGATCATGTTGAAGCTGCGCTTCGACAAGATCAAGTGGGAGTGTGAAGTATGGAGGAAGAGTCAGGACTGCATCCAGCTCAAACCTGAGGCTCATGTACCTCCAGGACGCGATGCTCGCGTCCAGAAGCCGGACTTCGACGGATTATTGGCTGGCGAGCCGCCAGCCCCATCCTACTGCTAATCCTACGAATAAATGTTACCGGGGTTTTTCCGTGTGCTGCTACACACTCGACAACTTGCGCCATCAAGAGCAAGCAGCAGCACTCGGTTTTTCTCCCCTGCTGGACTTTCAGTCCCTGCAACTAACTGTTGTTACGACTACTTCCTTCATCGCAATGGTCACCACTCGGCGCAGCCGAGGAGCGACCATAACTCAGTTTAGCTTTTATTTTAGATGTTTGCCTTCCCGCCTCCGCTTCGCTTCCGCGGGATAATTATTCCACCCCTCATGTGCCTAAATCGACTTCTTTATTTGTAATAAATATGGGTTTCATTTAGACCAGTCGCTACAAAATGTTGTGTTCCCAGTAAGCCGTGCAATTATTGCTACAAAGACTGAGCTCCTAGCATCATACTAACGATGCTTAAAACAGATAACTCTAGAGATCTTGACAAAGTCTCTTTATTATTGTTAGCGTTAACTGTACAGCTTCATCTTCCATCACCTGCACTTCAAATAGCACCTTTACAAACGCTTCACAATTTATTTAGTATAGCGTCGTGCTCGATTTCATGGACCGTTTCTGAAACTTAGCTCGAACCAATGCAAAGGATAGAAAAGGCCTGCTCTAAATACCCGTTTGTACTGCTTGTTTAAGCTTGTAATTAATATTTAACTTCTCATACCAAACTCAATGAAAGCTAAAACTTATTCAAGTTGTAATATATTTTATGCATGTAGCGTTCATTTGTGCTGATTAAGAATTACATGTTAAATAATGTGTCGCAAGACGCCTTGCTGTTGTTGTTGTTGACGGAAGTGTTTTTTATTTAATAGTTTATCGATAATTTCAGGATGGCTAAACGTCATTTAGGCTCCGAGTTTATTAACGTTTCTTTATGGGTCTACTTAGCCAGCTTTAATTAACACCCCTCGCTTACATGAGCTTAAGTGCTCCTTTTGGCTTGTCCCAGCAAAATCGGGTTAATGGTCACCGGTGGGCTAAGCAATCACTTGATCAATATAAAGACTCAACTAGTACAAGAGTTTATCCGCCCAGTTTCGCTTAGAGTAATACTACATCCCTCTCGCTTCGGACTCAGCTGCGTTTTGTTAATTTTCATACCTTTTTCTATCACTTTCGAACAAGCCTTCTCTTCAACATTCGCAAAACAAAAGGAGCGAGGACGTTTTTGGCGCGGTTAGCCAGGATCATGCGCACAAGGACATGAGCTGTTCATGACAATGGTGTAGCAATGGCAACGAAGAAGATCACGCCAGGTTCAAGAAACGGGTCGATTTGAGGAAGCTCCGGAAAGTGGAAGTCGATTTTGAAGCCCGCACAAGTGAGACCGAAGACGAATCCTACAATTGCTGAAAGCGTGTAGATGTGCTTCCATGTGTATTGCGACACTGGATTGTGTACAAGCGCTAACGCTGTTGCCAGTTCTTGTCATTTTCCCAATACCAAAATGCTGAGTTTTGGCGGGTGCTTTTTCTGTCATTTACGGTAATTTACAGTGTACAGCTTCTACTGTGCAATTCAGAGTTTTCCAATCGTAAAGCTTTAGCTATAATCTGCCAATTTAGAAATTAACAAATTATAGAATTTATGGTAAACTTTTCTCAAACAATTCTCCATCACCTCGTCGCAGGTCATCAGTCCAAAAAACCACGCGCCTCGATCTGAAGTTACACCAGCTACAGACGTGGCAGTACCAGTCGTACCGGCGATAATGTCTCCTCTTCCTCCTCACAGTCCCTCCAGCATCGATCGCATCAACACTGCTTTGGAAACTGTAGTAGAGCAACCTCCACCGGCGACTGGTACTTTGCGAGTGTGCCAGGCAACGGAAGATGAATGGAACTCGTTTGTTGACAGTGACGGACACAGCGTTCGACCCAATTATCTCGAGTGGTTTGCGGACACTGGAGAGATCCACGTGATCGAGTTTGCCGACGCGCCTCACCAGAAATTTATTACCGAGTTCATTCGACATTCATCACTCGACAAGCCATTTGTTGGTCGATTGCTCGCAGGGTACTTTGCCGCCACGAACTCGCAAGGAAGACGATGGTGTCCAGACACCAGTTATGGGCCACACCGAACAACGCACGGGGTCTGTCCTTCCCCCGGGCATTCCAATAATTGACGACTTTCGGGCGATCAAGGTTGAGATTGGAGTCTCACAGTCGTGGGGCATTACACATGGAGAGCTCGACCACAAAGCGATATCGGTTTGGGCTGCGATGCCAGGAGTTGAGTACGTGCTGTGTGTGAAGCTCGATGTCGACTTTGCGAACGCCGAATACAAGTTGTACGATGCTCGAGTACGTCGTCCACTGGTCCAGCTGGCACCACTTCCAATTGTCACTTCAAGAACCGTAATCCAGTTGGACGGACGTCGAGTCCTCGGTATTCCGCCAGGGATGGCGCTCCCGGTAGCTTTCCCGGCAACTCTGTCGGTGGATTTGTACCCTCCATTGCTCTGGGCAATGCGGTAACCCTTGGCGAGAAAGTTAGAAGTTACTGCGTCACCATTCGGACTAAAGAAATACATTGGTTTGGTCGAATCGACCCAGTCGCACTTATACGGATCAATATGGTACCTATCCTCAGGGGGGAAACGCCACACAAAGAAGCAGCACGCGAGGTCGACGCCCCGCGCCTCCTGCAGAGTCTCCCTGCGTCCTCCAGCGCCGGCCATGATTGACCCGTCCAAGGACAAATTCGCATACTTCAAGGACAACATCCAGACAGCCGAGGATAAGGTCCGTTCTGTCCCAAATCTGACGACGTACTGTATTCGCTCTCTAATTGTTACACCAATTACCGTGATTAGGAAGAGTTCGACGCCAGCCAGTACTACTACCATCGCGACGAATTCTCAAGCTCCAAGGGCCCTAGTAGTAGTAGCAACGGCCTAAGCAGCAGCGGAGGACCCCATCTCAGTCTCTCGTCGTTTCACGCAATGGGCAGCGGCCTCATGGACGACGACACCGCAGAACCCAATTTGGCGCAGCTACACAGCTCGTACTCGGGCTACAGCAGTGGTTTGATGCAAGGCGCGTCTAGTTCGGTCAGTTGTAGCAGCTTTTGAGCTTAATCGCGCTTGGTTTTAACGTTTTAATTATTACTGTTGCAGTTTCTGAGCGGATCCGGTGTGGGTCGAATGCCAGTAGGTACAAGTACAATTCCGCCCTCGCATGAGCTGCACCGTATCAGTTCCGGTACGTACGAGAGCGAGAAAAATAGTATTCTGGTGCAATTGTAGTAATTTATTTTCATTCATTGATTACAGGGCGGAGTTTCCCGCTGTCGACGGAGAATAAAGCGCCAGACATGTCCGAGTTCCCTGCGCTAGGCTCGAGGTAAGTGAAGAAGAAAAAAATCTGTTGATTTTGATGTTACGACGCTGAAATAACCAAGTAAAACCCCACGCTGTACAGGATGGGGGCTTTATCTCTAGACGCGAGTTTTGAAGGCTCCGCAGCGGAGCGAATGCGAGCTCCAGCGTCCGAGTTTGTGATCCAGAAAGAAGATTTCCCTGCGCTCTCGACGTTCGGACCTGGTGTGAGTGACAAGAGTCCGCTGGGAGCTCCGACGGAGTTAAAACGACACTCGAGCTTCACTTCGTCTGCAGCGGATGGCATGTTGTCGTCACGGTTGGAGCAGCAGAAAGGAGGCACGTCCATAGGTAGTCGAGTGGGCGGCGCGATGCAAGCAGCAGGGTCCAGTGGCAGCGTAAATCTAGGCACCGAGGCGTTCGATCACTTCCGAGCACCGCGACAGGACGAGCAGACGGGAGCTGGCAACGGCGAGCTGGATCCGAGCAACCAGTACGGACTTTTGGGCATGCTGCACACCATCATCCGACCAGACAATGGCGACGCGACCAAGAACTTGGCTATGGGCTGCGATCTCACGTCGCTGGGCTTAAATCTCAACTCGGCAGAGTATGTTTTTTCTTATATTTTTTATTTTTTTTTTGCTAACTTTTATTTTTTTTTATTGTTTTGTAGACCGTTGTATCCAACGTTTGCATCGCCCTGGTCTGAAGAACAATTGACAAAAGAGCCGCAGTTCTCGTTGCCACTGTGCTATTACAACCAGCCTCCAGTGCTCAAGACGACGCACTTGTCCAAATTCCACCTCGAGACGCTGTTCTTCGTCTTCTATTCGATGCCTAAGGACGTCTTGCAAGCGTACGCCGCACAGGAACTCTACAGTCGCGAGTGGAGATACCACGCGGAGCTCAAGACGTGGCTGAAGCGCGCATCTCCGGCAGATGCGGCGCTGTTAGCTGGCAACGCGAGCTCTTCTGTAGGGGGAGCAAGCAACGGATCCCCCACTGGCGCAACGGGTAACGGCAGCATTGGATCTATCGGTAGCGCCATGGGCTCAGGCACGGGACCTTCATTAGCCACCAGCAACATGACGCCGCAGTTCTTGTACTTCGACACGGCCACATGGGAACGACGTGTGTTCACGGGGAACATCAACTCGATCAGTGGCGGCTTGGTGGGCGAGGACGAGATCCGAGTCAAGTTTAACGCGTCTTCGTAATATACCACGAACACCTGTGTACCTACTGTAGTTGTAATTATTCTAAAGTTGTGATGGTGTTTTTTTTTTTTGGCTGTAAAGAGAGCAGGGGGCAGAGCAGCTAGGAAACCAACTAGACTTTCGCTCGTCTAGATGTCTGCACACTGATGCGCTTTCCTCTCTATTTTTTTTATTAAATTTTCAGACCTCCCAGTTATGTGCACTGGCTGCTTCATCGCAGTATGCGGAGATCTGCACACTTCCCCATATATAAAATTTAAATCATGGCCGCGTCGTCGACTTTTGCCGTTCATCCACATGAGGCGTCCACATGGCACTTCCCGCCGAGAGCAAATTCCAGTTGTTTGACACGTTCTTGTTGCATTTGGCGAGTCGCTACAAGCTCCTGCTTTTCGACCTGCAGCTTCGCCACATGAGCGGCGCTGTCTGCTACTTGCTGAGAGAGTTGAGACGTGGCCACTGCGTGCTTCTGCTCCAGAGCAGCAACTTTGATCGTCGTCTCGAGCGAGAGTTGCTTCTCGCGCTTACTGTGGCTTCGTTTCGCACTTTCCAGTTGCACTCGAAGAGATCTTTTTAAAAAAAAATAGGTAAGTTACTGAGTGGCAGGAAAAGTTACGGGGTAAAATAACGTACTGAGTCTCTCGTTGAGCGTCGATCACGATGGCGTGCATCCGAGCTCGCAGTCGCGTGAGCTGCAGCTTGGCAGTCGCCTCGCCATCCTTTGGCTTGTGCACACAGTCACACGAAGTTTCAGCAGCTTCGTCCTCTTCTATCGGTGCTGACCATCGTCTGAGTGGGTTATTTTCCAGTCGCTCGTTCTCTCCAGTCCTGACTGCGTCAACTTCGTCATCTCCGTTGCCTCGGATCAACGTCTGAAGCTCGATGATTTTCTGTACGGATAGCAAAAAAACAGTCACAAAAGTTGTACGACCAGAGAATAAAAAGTGTACCCACTTACAGTCTGCATGAGTTGCTGTTCGGATGCGCGTCGCTTCTTCTCGTCCTCCAGACTCTTGACTAGTAGCGCTACTTGTTGACGCAGCATCGTCACTTCATCTGCGCTCTCGTCTTCTTCATCGTCGGACGGAATCGGTCCGTCAATGAAGTTCCCGATCGGAATTGGACTGCTGCACCCACTACTGTAGTTGCTAGGCATATTACTCTCGTAGCTTCCGAACTCCGGGAACATGGGCGAAAGACACTGATACGGTGCCGTTTGAGCCGTGGGGTCTCGTTTTTCCAATGGACTACTAGCAAAAGCTCTCGGGCTGTGCACCATAGAGACCATAGCAGCCGACGCAGCTGAACACCGACGTCGGGGGCTGTGGAGTGGAGAGCTCGAGGCATTTTCAACCGGTGTTCCTACTAGCCGATGGAGTACGGAGCGAGGAACTCCACCGACTTGTGGCTCCTGCATATGCCGCAACGCATTGCTTTGCCACGCTGCTACCATATGCGAGCGTCGACGACCGACGGGCCACGTGCTGGCAGGATGCTGCTCTGCTGAGGCTTCGTCAAGTCTCGACGCGACCGATTCAAGTTTGGTTCTGGTCGTCACGGTTGGAGACGTCGAAAGGCGTGCCGTTGCGCCTGGTGGTTCCATGGCCAGCTAACTCCCTTCTGCGATCGAAGGGCTTGGCTCGTACGCGGGTGGGCGTGAGTGTTTGAATGCTGGACAAACCGGGGCTCTCTCTCTACTGTTGTGAACCTACCAGACCTCGAAGTCGGAGTAACGCCCGAAGTACAGTAGGATCGAAGCGAAAGGGATAACTTAGGATAAACCAGAAGCCGCCCCGAAAAAGCACCAAGAACGAATCAAAACGACGCCAAATGGCGAGTGTTTCCTGCTGTCCCGTACTAATTGTTGTCTCAAAAACTGTAGCACGAAGTAGCTGACAAGAATTTGGTTTTCACGAAACTACTAAGAGCTTGTACGACAGAATCAGTACAATTTTTTTTACGAATATGGAGATCTTTTTTAGGACTATCCACATCGGATAAAAGGCAAAGATCGCAACGGAGAAATCAATCGATCCTTAAAAGGCATGAAACTTGAGACGCCGTAACCGATTCACGTCGTGCTCCGAATATCTGATTCCGCTTTTGTCCCCCCCACACATCTTCCATCCCGGCTCGTCTTCATGGCACCAAAATGTTGCGCTCACAGCCAAATCGATCTTATCATTGCGCTCAATTTGACTATTCGGGCAAGTTGAAGTTGTAGACAGAAAAAAGTATCTTTGGCGATCCGTTTCGCAAGACTCCAGACAAGAGTCCAGAATGAACTACCGGAGTGCTAAGTTGGTCTGCAAACAGCACAAGTATTGAACAACGGCCCGATGATGCCCACCTCCAAGCACTCTGATCTAGTAATACCCATCTCTCCCGCTGCAGGGTAAGGAAGGGTATTTACTTAAATTGGTGGCAGCGAAATGCACCCCACTGCAATGGGATGCTGCACAAAATTGCCAGTGGCAATTTTGACGAGTTGCCGGTTTTTGTTTTTTCAGCTGACTGATAACAGCTACAGTACTGCACCCCGTTTTCGCGGGGGTGGACCATATAGGATTTGCAAATTAATCCATATTTAGAATACAAACAATCATTCATTTCGACTCAGGACAATCACATCACGAAGTTTATCAAAGGTCCAAGGGCGCGAAAACGGGGTATGAGGACAGCAACCTACGCTCGGCAAATTACTCTAGCATGGTAGACAGTTTTTGAAAAAAGTGCTATATGTGGCATCTCCCCAAACATTTGCCAAGTCTAAACATTTTTCTCGCTCTCAGCAAAAATCTTCCTTGCAATCCCCTTCGATTAGAATGCGCACGAAGGTACCTGCTGTCACTCACCTGAACAGACACCGTATTTGTTCGCGTTACCTTTAACGAACGAGAAAACGACTGAGAAACGACTATTAACTTACGCTTCGAATCCGGGAAAGTATCCGGCCGCATGGAGGGACGACAATGTTCTAGATACCAAAGATATTGCCTCTCTGGAGCTCTTCCAGCAGAGGAGAGATGATGGTGATCATGAGCAGGTAGGTGATGATCCCTAGAAACAGCGAGATCGGGAGTGCCGGTAACGCATCATAGCGAGCGAGCAAGCACAGCGTAATGGCCAGACCCTGAGTAACAACCAACGTTAGGTTTCACCTCTTCGAGTTACCCTACAGTAGAGCAATCTTACCACGAGGATACTGAGGAAACAGGCTGCGAATACGTCGAAACCGTGTAGCGACGCTCGGGCGACCAGCACGCTGTAGAAAATGAAGTCTCCTAGACCCAATTTGATAGATTTGTCCTCATCTCCCTCTTGGTTATAGCTGGAGCCACCTGCAAAGGCAGGATACGTGTCCATGGAAGTTCCAAACACAGCGCCAATGTCTGGATACGGCTGTTGTTGGGACACGTAGTCGACGCAGTAGTAAGAGTACAGATTTCGCCACAGACGCAGCTGGTTGCGCTCAAACCTCGTAGCAAGTTCTTCACTTCGGTTCTGACACTGCGAGTTCTGGTCGTACAGAAAAGAATGAACTTGCCGTCGAAACAGGTCAACGCTAACTGCTCCGTGGCCTTGAAGCACACTTTCGCCCGGTGCTGCAAGTAGCAAACGACGAATGAAAATCTCCTCTGGTACAGTATCTCGAGTCGCGAATCTCCGTCTCTCCCCAATATGAAAATTTTCCACCTCTGCTTCGAATAGAAGACCTGGAATCGGAGTCCCCTTTTCCTGTATGAGATCAACTAGACAACGTAGAGGCCCCACGGGTGTTAAAACGGCGAAAAGGTCCCAGAATCCTAGAAGGAGTAAAAGCATCCACACACTCCACTACCATCGCAGCAAATTAGTCCACGGGTACCTCCAATATGACGATATTTTTCCCACCTTACCTCGGGTAATTGAGCGAGTTGCCACGCGACGATGACACTGGTGGCGATGAGATACCCACGCTCCAATGTTCCAGGAATACCCTTCTGGTAAAAAATACTAAGCACACCGACCATCGCGAAGTTGTACATGACAATTGTGAGCGAGATGCGATCGATGACCCAGTGCAGATTCCCACACAGAACGATGACGACGAGCTTGGAGCCCATGAGTCCAAGTAACACCGCCGAGTACATGATGCAGTACCAGGCGAAGAGATGCACGCCGTTGCATTTGTAGAGCAACACGACGCCAAATGTGAGGAAGGCGATAAAGATAATCACCAGAAGCGCGTTGAGAAGCGCTTCTTCTGTTTTCTCAGCTGTAGACAGCTCGGATGAGTCGATATCTTGGTAGTACATGTACGTTCTGATTCACAAAACCGATTTTAGTAAAAAAAAAAACTTTAAAAAAAACCTTTGCTAAAAGCTTACTTCATGGCTTGTGTCATGACAGGGTCGGAGATGTATGTGGCAGCGAGACTGTAGAACGACACAAAAATATTAAAAACGTGCACAATTTGTACGCACATGGATTAATTACCTCGAGCAGATGATCGCATTCGAGACCGGCCACACGACTGCGAAGAAGCTGTTGAGTTGGTGGATCACTGTTCCTAAGTCGACCTGCTCACTCTCTTGCTGCAGTTGTCGCTCTTTGCGAGGTGCATGGTACACTCTGCTCTTGTCCAGCAGAGGTTCCTCGTACATCGTCGAGCTTTGAACACACACCGCGCAGTCAAACTAACAGCCTAAAAGAGTACATCATTTCATTGCCACTTACTTGCTCTCGTCACCTGACATACTCATGTAGTGCACGCTCGCCAAGCTCCTCGTATCCGACCTTGCATTCCCCATCAACAGCGATTACAGAAGATACGAAAGAGACTAGTAAGATCCTTAGACAAGATGCCCCACCAAAGGTCACCCACCACGCCCAACGTAACGTCCTGAACTCCAAGTTTACGACGAAAAGCAGCAAAGAAAAGAAAAAACAAACGAGAGGAGCGATGGGACCCAAGAAGAAAGGGAAGAAAGGCAAGAAGGGCAAGAAAGAGGAAGAATTGCCGCCAGAGGAGCCCTCAGGTGCGTCCCGTAACATGATTAAAGCTCTAGTTTTAGTGTTAATTTGTATCATCTCGTAGAGTATGACACGATGGACGTGCCGATGCTGAAGGAGGTGATCCAGATGCTGAGACAGCAACTGGAGAAGGCACAAGTGGATCGCAACTACGTACAACACGAACGGGTACGCATGGTCTCTACTATCTTTCTCTAAAATATCACCAACCCTCTCTCTATTATGACCAGGACATGATCGAGTCTTTCTACGAGATCACCAAGCAGGAGATCCAGGACCACGAGAACCAAATCATGGCCAAAGACCGCGAGATGGAGATCATGGAAGACAACCATCGCGTCGAAGTGCGTGTGTACGTACAGAAAGTGAAGCACTTGGACTACGAACACAAGAACAATCTCAAGCGCGTCCAGACGGACGGCACGGGTCACATGGACGAGGAGCAGGATCTGCACGAGCACCGAGAGACCGTGTTACGCAGCACCAAGCAGTCGCTCAAGCTCGAGCTCAAAGAGCGAGATTTGTCCAATGAGGACGAGACGGAGCAGATGAAACAAGCGCACGAGAAGAACCTCATGAAGCTGCGCGAACAGTTCGAGAAGAACAACGCGGCGCTGGAAAGTCGCTGTCAACTGCGTCTCCGAGACCTCCAAGAGTCGCTCGAACTGCGACGTAAAGTCGACATCCACGAGATCGAAGAGCGTAAGAACTTGCACATCAACGACCTGATGAAAAACCACGAAAAGGCCTTTACACAGATCAAAAACTATTATAACGACATCACCAAAGACAACTTGCGTCTCATTGACTCGCTTAAGAACGAGATCGCTGCGATGAAGAAGAAAGCGGCGGCGAACACGAAGCTCATGCACGACGTGTCGCAAGAGAACAAGCGGCTGTCGGAGCCTTTAGCGGCTGCGATTCAAGAGGTAGAACACTTACGCCATGAGCTTAAAGACGAGCAGAAGGACAAGCTGTCGCTACGTAACGCTAAGGCCAGACTACTGTATCTAGCTCAACAAGTAAACGACCTTAAGCAACGTCAAGCGGAGCTCACGATGAGCTACAGAACGATGGAGTCGGACCGCAACGCACTGTACGACACGTTCGAACACACGGTGCAGACTATTCACAAGAAGGGCGAGTGCAAGAACCTCATCTTGGAGCAGCGGTTGGCTTCAATGGACGATCAACACGCACGAAAAGGCGCCCAGCTGCAGGAGATTCTACTGGCGGCAAACCTCGACCCAGTGCAGGCGCGCAGAGTGACGGAGACGCTGGGCACGCTGCTGGACTCGAAGAACTCCAAGATTCGCACACTCCAGTACAGTGTCGCCAAGGAGAGCAAGGCTTTTAATGACAGTTTACGTACCTTCACACAGAAGTTGACCCAGTTTGGCATCCCAGAGGAGGAGATCCGAGCTCTCGGATTCAAATCACTGGCCTCCAATACCAACGTGAACCCAGCCGGACTGGTAGCAACGGAGTAATCTTTGCTTATTGATGAATGGATGCAGCTATTTTGTACTACTTGGTGGGTTTGGTGACGATGTAGGTAGGGTACTGCGTTCAGAAAAAGTATAAACAAAAGTACCCCTTGATAATGAAGGAAATTCTAGACCTATCAAAGCGGATGTAGGTTATTATTATTATGTAGAACGAGCGCCGCACCTACGCGGCGGTAGTTTAGTATTTTTAATTAAGATTAGCTTTGGCCTTCCTGCCTTCGGCGGGATAATTATTGAAAAAATCTGCTGAACCCCTGTATACCTAAATCGATTTTTCTTTAATCAGCACCATGTTTCCAGACTGAAATAATTATTCAAACTAGCCGAGCGCCGCCGCTACGCGGCGGTAAAGTAGGTTTAGTTCTACACGTTTTGGCATCCCCGCCTCCGCTACGCTTCGGCGGGATAACTATTGAAAAAAACGCTGAACCCACGTGTACCTAAATCGATTTTTTTTAATTTATTAATTTGGGTCAGCATCATGCTTACCAGATTTTCGAATTAAATATTCTAATGATCTTATATCAAGATTCTTGATGCAATCTCTTTTTTATTGCTGGCTATCACTGTATCTTCATCCTCCATCCAAAACCACCGGCACTTTAAATAACATTCATACAAACGCTACACAATATGTGTAGTTTAGCGTTGTGCTCGATATCACGGGCCATTTCTGAGCCGCTATGAAACTTAGCTCACATCAGCGCAAACGATAGTAATGGCCTGTCCAGTTTGCACTACTTATTAACACCTGCCTGCACTGCCTATTTCAGCTTAAAGATTGTTCACTTCTCATATCAAACTCAATGAAAGCTAAAACAAAATATTCAAATTTTACTATTTTTAATGTATGTGGCGCTCATTTTGTGCTGATTCAGAATTAGCACTCGAATCTGTGTCAGTTATGATTGAAGCACTTAGATATTGTGTCGCAAGACGCCTTGCTGCTGTTGCTGTTGACGGTAGTGTTTTCTATTTGATAATTTAACGATGATTCCAGGATTATTGGACGTCATTTAGGCTCCAAGTTTATTAACGTTTCTTTATGGTGTCTGCTTCGCCAACTATAATTAGCACCTCTCATGTTTTGTTGTTCTATTGCCGCTCCATTTATACGGGTATCCTACGCCCCTGTCGGCGACCCGTCCGCCAGCTAAGTAGTATCGGATTTTGCTGCCTAACAACTCTTAGAAAACAATGGCTTACAGCAGTCTCTTAGAAAACAATGGCTACAGCAGTAACACATATGAGTTCATTCTATTCAATCTAAAACTATGTATCTTTATGGATCAGGTGACAACGTTTATTGGCACAGCGTTGTTTTTACGGCCAGCTTCTGTTGTACGTTTGGCAGCTCTAAATCAGTCACCTCACACTCAGATATGTTCTTAATATTTCTACAGCAAAACATTTGTGGCTATTATTTTAGTCATTGTAACTTGCAGAAACTATTAGAAACATAGTATTACGTATATTAAAGTATGGCCTCGAAAACACGCATTCCTACGTGCACGCTAAGCACCTTGCAGCATAGGAAGCCGCTGATGGTCCGCGTGGTCTCGTGCCGGTACTTGCGCATCAGTTGTAGTCAGGACGACCACCCAATCTTTCGACGCTACTATGCCAGGTACCGTAACGCTATTATAGCCGTCCACTATAAAGAACGCTGACTCGTCGTGATGACTCACTAATCTATCGAAATAAGGTAAAGCTTGTAAATAATTTTTATATTCTATTAATTTTTCAGTACCTCTATGTAATAAACCTATATGAGAATCAGCTTTTTGAACACCTTCACCATTTAATTCTATGATTAAACGTAAAACACCGTGCTAGCCTTGATACTTTAGGACTAGCGCTCTGGGCGCCTGCTCCGCGGACGCTAGGTCATGGTTGGTTGGTGTAGTGTGGGCTGACCGCCTCTGCTGCGCTGCGGCGGATTAAAGAGCATTTCGAAATCAAAGCTAAATGTATTATATGCATTACGTGACCTACCAAGACCGCGTTCCAAAGATCTCTCCGTACACAATATGGTCAGTGTGTACGTTCCCGTCCTCATCGATGGCCTCTGGATCCACAGCAATTTTGATCGCCTTCCTTGAAGTCACTCTCGACAACGCCACATAAAGCTGCCCATGTGCAAAGACCGGTGATTCCAAGTAGATACCCACGTGGTGGATCGATTGTCCTTGGGCCTTGTTGATAGTCATGGCAAACGCTGGAACCACGGGGAACTGCTTACGCTTAAGTTTGAGCGGGAACTCCTTGTCATCGTCCTCACTATAAATGACGATCCGAGGAATGAACACCTTCTTAACCTTGAACGGCCCGGACATAATGCTGGCCTCGATGATTCTCTCGCGCAGTAATACAGCCCGAAGCCGCGTTCCATTACAAAGTCCTGCGTCGCTATTCAGGTTTCTAATCATGATGATAGGTGTTCCAACCTTCAAAACAATCCTGTGCGGAGGGATACCGGAGAAGTTAAGAGAGTTCAAGAGCTCCGGCTCAAACATTTTTGCATCCGCGACCCCTTCGAGGCTGTCCACCGAGAGGTACTCCTTCGTTTCACCCGATAGCCGTTCCGCAACCATGTCGTTGATACGCCGAACACTTGCATTTGTGGGGGCTAGTATGGCTCGCTCAACGAAGTATTCATCGGGTAAATTCTCAGTATCAACGCCCGGGTATACCGCATGTATCATGGCGTTGACGTTGCGGACTCGTCGGTCTTTTTCAACTTCGTTCAAGTCTCGCTCGTGTTTCTCGTCCGCCGGAGGTAGTAGCCTGAAACTTGGGGGGGGGGGCTCCAAATCCGCGTCTTCTACATCAGAGGTCATTTGTTGTACCCGTCGTTCTGGAATGATGCACATGTCGCGTGGAAGGCATATATCGCCATCACCGATCTCATGGTTGACTGGGTAACGGCCTTCTCCAATTTGAAGTAAAAATTCAGAGAATTCCGCTAGCTCAGCCGCGCTGGCCGCGTCTGGGGTGGTGCGGACACGCATGTTCTCGGACAGCCGCACTTGACGCAAATGCTCCCATAGGGGCGAAGACTTAAAGCAAGCTTGAATTGTCTCCGCACGCGTAGCATCCTTTAGTACAGGTAGAATCTGGCACCACCATTACCTTTCCGGCGAACGGCTCCAGCTCGTTCTTCATAATATCCCGAAGCGACCTGTCAACAGCCTCAAAGCAAGCCCGGTTCATCATCGGCGCTTCGTCCCAAATGATTTACCTTTCCGGCGAACGGCTCCAGCTCGTTCTTCATAATATCCCGAAGCGACCTGTCAACAGCCTTAAAGCAAGCCCGGTTCATCATCGGTGCTTCGTCCCAAATGATCAAACTCGCGCTACGAATCAATTCGGCTTTTTGGATCTACCATGAAAGGCTGCACGTCGACGTCTCTGTTAGTTTGAGGGGAATCCGGAACGTCGAATGCGCGGTATGACCTCCAATTAACAAAGTGGCTGCAATCCCACTCGATGCAACCGCGATGGCAGTCTTACGTTGCATTCGAACGCGAGCGAGTATTTGCTCGAGTAGAAACGACTTTCCTGTTCCACCTGGACCATCCAAAAAGAAAAGCTTCTCCCCTCCAGCCGGTCTGCTCACAGCAGCAATAACTGGGTCAAAAATATCCCTCTGGTTGCTGTTCAAGTGGCCTGCCTGCTCCGCAACATGTTCCAGTTCGTTTTGGGGGTACGCGTCAAGCTCTTGCTGGACAACATCAGCAGACGCTGTATTCGGGTCGTCCACGTGAGCAGATACACCGCCGTAATCGACTAGCAGAGGAAGGCCGTACATGTCGAGGGACTTTTGGTTCGAAACCAAGTAATCAGCCAAGTTCTTCAACGCCTTGTACTCCGTCATTCGAAGACGCACCTCCTCTTCGCGTACATTATGCAGGTCTGCGTCTCTTTACTCAATGCTTCGTATATGATCCTCTGACATATCCTTCTTGAACTTGTCCCATAGATCTTTGGCATCGCCAGGCATCGAGTAAACCAAAATGATGCCGAAGAGTTGGCGTAGCTGGTACGGCATCTTGACCTCGGCGGCCTCGCGTAAGCAATGTATCCACTCGTCGTCATTTTCCAAATACCCAAGCGCCAAAGCTGCTTGCTGATGTGTAGGATGTTCCGTACCATCCACCGTTCGAAGATCCGATAAGGACTTAGGAGAGCGTCGGTTACACAGGAGAAGTCGCAAGTAGAAGCGTTCTGGGTCCTGCGGAGATACGTGTACCAAGCGTCCCAGGGAAGCAACGTACTTCTTATACGGCTCACGTCTTGTGTTCCGTCCACCTGTACTCCCGCGGCACATCCTTGTACAGTAGATTGGCCGTAGCTTCTGGGCTACGCGCGCACAGTTTGAAAAACTCCGTCAGCATTGATCTGTCCCCGCGGTTAATCAAGTTGTGAAGCTGGGGGGTCGTCGCTTGGTCGCGATAAGCAACCATACTCATTCTTTCCAAATGGATAGGTATCGTTACGACAGAATGTGTTGATCCTTGTGTTGGATGCATGAATAGCCGCATGCAAGCTTCTACCGGAGAAATATACCTCCCGAGGAGATACTGAAGAATTTCGTTCGCCCGAATTTCTTCGCCTTCTATCGAGATTGTCGTCATGTCCGAGCCCTCATAGACGTACTTGTAGATGTACTTAATGGCCTTGTTCGCGGCACAAACCTCGACGTTGATGTGGCAGCTGTATTTTTGCGACAGGAACGGATTGAACGGGACCACCCATTGATTGATGGTCGCGTTGTCCCATACTTTCCCCTTATGGCACAACATTTTATCCGGACGGCGACCACGCTTGTACGTGGGGTATTTGTCGGAGGTCATCACCGTTTCGTCCGCGAGCGCCTTTGGAAACTTCTTGGAACACCTCCCGTTCTTCATGCACGGGCAGTTCGGGTTATGTTGACCACAGGGTCCATGCAGCATATTGGAAATCACCGTATAGTACAGCTCGGGGTACTTCTCTTTATCCGGGTGCTCCGC